AAGCAAACAAGGTTGTCTACGAAATGGAAAGAAAATAAAAGGTATGATAGAAGGGCTAGCTTCAGATCTAATAGTTGTTCCCTCACCGTTGTGGTTGTGCTACAGTGTTAAGATCTAATTCAGAACATGAAATATGATAACCAAACTTGCAACCTTGCTTAATTCAATTACTCTGATGCGGTAGTACAAGACTTGGCCTATAGGCTATACCAAGAATTCAATAATGATTGGCAGTTTTTGGGAGGCTAGAGGTTTAACTTTGAATCATGATTGGTGTTTTTTTCTAATGTTTTTTTTTCCTTTTCTTTTCCCCCATGACCACCGCCACCCTTCACCCAGCACCCCTTCACCTTCAATTTTCTTTTCCCCCCATGACCACCGGCCTCCAAACCTCCAAACCCCCTTCACCTTCAGTTTTTATAATGTATTGTGCGACGAAGGACTTTTTCCGTCACGCAACAATTCTTCGCGCAATGAAGAAACTCTTGTGCGTCGCGCAAGAATTGATAATTATGACGTGAAACTATAACCTTGCGTGACGAAGGACTTTTTTAGTCACGCAACAATGCAAGAATCGATAATTATGATGTGAAAATAGAACCTTGCACGACGAAAATGCAAGAATCGATAATTGTGACGTGAAAATAGAACCTTGCGCGACGAATGACTTTTTTCGTTGCGCAAGATAAGATAATTATCACGTAAAATATAACCTTGCGCGACGATAAATATCCGCCGTCGCGCAACGGATATATGCGCTACAAATGTAGGCTTATTCGTCGCGCATACCATATTTATAAATCACAAAAACTCATGAGTATTACGAGGAATTTTTTATTTAAAGAACAAATATTATGAAATTATATTATTAGGACCCTACAAGTGTGTCATTGGGTTAATTTACATGTTAAAATATTACATTGCAATGTAAATAAATACACATATTATAACGTGAGTAAATTAACTATTTAGCTTTAGTAAATTTGACATAGTCAATGTCTAAAAAAGTAATCAAGTTACTCGACGTAGTGTAAAAATTAGAATTTCATAAATAAAGTGTTGAGTCGATTTATGATTTAACCCACAATTCATCCACATTAGGCTTAGGTCCGAATATAAATACAGTGTTGAGTCAAAAGATTCGAATATATTTAAAAATGGCTATACTATTTAAAATGAAAATATTATTTTCATATAATTGTCTACATAAAGGTGTACTCAATTAACTCGGATTAGGTCCGGTTATGTTGTGCATTAAGATCAAAATCGTAATCGTAAAATGCTAGGTCAAGTTACGCGAGTATCCAAGCGTAATTGAGTCACAAGTGCCCTAGAGTAGGCTTGTGGTTAGGGTTCGAGACTTGAGAATGGTGTTGGAACAAGTTTAGAAGTTAGAGTTTTTAATTCGAGACTTGAATTTTGGGTTTTGGAGGCTAAAATAAATTGTTGGAATACTAAAATAGTTTTCACAATATTTTTGCCTACTTCAAACAAGTTTCCAGGATTTTTAAATTATAGAAACTATTTTAAAAATACTTTTGAAAATTAAAAATAAGTTTTCAAGTCCATAAAAGAATTCAATACTATTTATTCAGTCATTTCGTAAATAAATTAAAATATTTAAATACTAATTCGTCACTAAATAAATAATACTAAAAACTAAATACTAATTAAAGTAATTAAATAAGGCTAATGTATATTAGTTTTATGAGAGGTTTGCGCGACGTAAATGGGTTTCTATGTCGCGCAAGTTGTCCAAATTTTCACGTTAGGGTTTAGGGTTTAGGTATGAGGTTCTAATAATCTTGTGCGACGAAACTTCCTGTCGTCACGCATAACATATTTGCTCTACGCAATGCAACTCTTATGTCGCCCAGGTGTCATTAATTTTGAAGGTGAAAATATTACCTTGCTCGACACCAAGTGTCTACTGTCGCGCAACAGTTCATTGCGTGACGTATTCTTCTTTTCATCGCGTAGGTTACTATAATTTATTGTTCCTTCGCGACGACATTGGCCTGTTGTCACGCAAGATCTCGAAAATGTTAGCGGCCCATCGTGAAAAAAACACGCTTTTTTTTTTTCGTTACCCACCCTTCAGCAGCCAAAACCTTTCAGATCCTCAAACCCTCTCAGGTCCCTCCTTCGAACCCTCGAACCCTCTTAGACTTCGAACCCTCTCACCTCTCACCCTCTCACCCTCTTAGACTTCTAACCATCTCAGTTCCCTCCTTCAAACCTTCGAACCCTCTCACACCCTCTGAGCTCTCTCATTTGAACCCTCTCAGACCCTCTCTCCTTCGATCCCTCTCTTGGGTTATTCTACCTTTCGCCCGCCACCATTGGAGACTAGAAGCCCCGCCTTCGAGCTTGGATCCTGCGTCAGCGGTCTCGTTCTCTTCGTGTCTCCCTCGAAACCCCCTTTGGTAAAATTCCCAAATCTAGCCTCCGGTCTCGTTTTTCAATTCTGGATATTTCTACTAATTTCGTTGGGATTTAGTTTGATGAGATTTTGATTTCTGCAATTAGTTTACTTAGTTGCCATGTTAGCTCACAGATTTAGTCCAGTTAGTTCACAGATTTAGGTTTTTGCAATTTAGATTTTTGCAATTTCAATGTAAAAAGGGCACAGGGTCCAGAATCTGGTTTGAACAAAATAAGAATCAAAGGCCCAGAATCCATAAAGACCCAAGTCCGAAATCTATCAAAGACATAACAAAACTTGGGCCTCAGGAAAACAAAAAGAGAAATCAGCCCAGGGCTCAAAACTGGGCTTGGCACAATTAAAAGGGGGAGCAGACCCACGTGACATTTCTGACTTAGAAAAGTCAATATTTTCAACTGGGGTTAACAAAAGCAAACGGCTAGGAAGAGACATCTCTGGATCTCTACCATCAGAAGATCAAAATCTCTTTTTTTTATATTTAGGGATATTGATTTCACTCTGGAAGAAGGGACCATCTTTCAAGAGATAAGCAAACTTCAATCTCAGAAAGAGATAAGCAGGTGTTCACCCGTTTTGCGTTTACTCCTATGATGGAAGGGCAAAGTTCCCCACTGCCTTGAGAACCATAGACTGGTCAACAAGTCAGCTTTCTTTGGTGTGCGAGCGTGCCACTGCTAGTAATGAGAAGTCTAGCAGACTTAGTCTGGAATGGATAACTTGCGCCCCAAGTTACTGATTTCCTAAACAAACGATTGTGAATTTGGGTGAGGAATATCTCCCAAGTAAGTTCTTTTCTTGCCTCAGACTGGTGAGGACTTCAATAATTTATCTCAGTATAAAGAGGTTGTTCTGGCCAGAATGGCTGATGAAATTTAAGCTATTTTTGGGCGGAAGTGCCTTTTACAAGACTACAAAAATACATGTCGATGCCAAAAAGATAAAAAGATAGCTAGATCTCCATTTCTGCCTGGATGGGAGGCTCTATGATGGGCTGGACTGGACCGTCGACAATTCTGATTGCCCGATCTTCGACTACAAATCGATACCAAAGGTTGATTCTGGCAGAGCTTTAATGTACCTTAAGCTTTTGTGAAGCTTCTGAGTGGGCAGAACTGCGGTTTCTTCAGTTTGAACAGGCAGAAGTGGCTGTTCTTGAGGACGTTGGTGAGCTGGAGGCTATTCCGTGAATTTTGCTGAGGTTTTCCATACTTGGAGAAGATTCAAACTCTGCTTGTTTTGGCTTTTTGTTGAACCAAATTTATAACGAGAGAAATCTCGTCTTGAATGACTTGCTTCCTAAATCTGGATTCTGGGCATTCTGATCTGGAGCTGGTTTTTCACTTGAAATTCAAGTGGGCTTGTTTGTTTGAGGGTTTTCCTATGTAGGATCTTTGTTTGATTGAGTGATGAAATTTTTGTTGTAAGATTGATTGTCCTTTGCCCTGTTCACTCCTTCTTGTATTTATAAGAAAATGTCTTCTGGAGTAGGGTAATTCTTTTAATAATGGGCGGCAAATCCTTTCAAAAAGATCTTCTTTTTTTTTAAATGGAAAAGAAAAGGAAAAAAAAAGGTTTCCTCAGTTTTTGGTAGATAGGCTCTCAACAGATAGGCAATCACTTCCCTGATTTTCTTAAAAAAAGAACCTAATCTCTTTCCCAATTTCAACTGCCCCTTGTGATCTTTTGCCGGTGACGGTTAGTTTGACTTCTTTTCTGGACAGCTTCCTGCTTTCCTGCTTATCCCTCCCTGAGATTGTAACTTGCTTATCTCCTTGGGAGAATTACCTTCTCTGAAAAGACAGGAGAAAAAATCTCTGAGTATGTATATATATATATCATATATGGGTAAGAGGGATTTGATCTTCAGCTTTTCCAGAATCAATCTTGATATTATGAACCCTTCAATTACTTCTCCTGTGACAGTTGCCATTGCTGACTTTTCTTTTTCCAGAGAGGTCACGTGGGATTGTCCCTACTTCTGGGCTTTCTTCTTTCTTTTATTGGGCCTGTGAGGCCCAGATTAGCCTTGTCTATTTTGACGAGTCTTGGGCTGGTCTCCTCTGGCTTTTGGGCTTCCATCTCTCTTTGATTTCTTGCAGCTTTCATTCTGGGCCTAATTTTCGCTGGGCTGGGTGTGTCAATTTGTGGCCCAAACAATGCCCCCTTAGGTCTGAATCGTTTTTGGAACGGTTTCAGACTTAAATGACATGGCCATTAAATTGGCGCGTGGTAAATTCCTTCATTTATCCCACGTCTGCCACGCTTCCCCACTAAGCTAGTGCCCGGTGTGGCGCAGTTCTTCAGTTACTAGCCCTTTATTAGCTTAGTCACTATCAGATTGACGCTTTGTCTTCTCCACGTCGCTGTCATCTCTTTCCCACGTTTTCTGGCTTCTTTAAAAGTCTTTCAAAAACCACTGTTCCTGTTCACCTGAAAACCTAGTATTTTCAAACTTGATTCCTTTCGTGTTTTCAAAAAAAAACTTCCTTTTGCTCGATCCTGCCTTGCCCTTCCTGTGAACCTCCCTTTTCAGAAAAAAATAACTTTCCAAGAAATGTCTTCCCCGAAATCCCGTGCTCAGTCTTCCTCTATTCCAGTTCTTCCCGACTACGTTACTGGGGCTGGGATTGATAAACATGCGATAGAGGTTAGGAGCAAGCTCCATCCTTTTGCCCAGAAAAACCTAGATGAAAACGTCCTTCATCTGTTCGAAAACACCTTGGTGCTGGGGCCTCACTGGTTTGGCCCCGTTCCTCCCGAGATGGCGGAGCTGATGAAGAAGGATGCTGAGGCCCCTCTATGTTTTGAGAGCCTCTCCGCTCTGGCTTCTCATTCTTGGGTTAGTAAGAATTTGAGTCGTTCGTTCCCATCTAGTGAAGTGAGAAACAGTCCAGTCAAGTGGCAGATGGTGATTAGGAGGACCTATCCTTGGTTTCAGCCTGGACATCGTCTGTTTGAGAAAGAGCCAGAAGAAGAATCCGCCAGAACTGATTTCAGGAAGAAGTTCCTGAGTGTGACCTTACCTAGGGATCTACCTCATGGAGGAGGAAAGCCTCCAAATTATCATTTGGGGGGCGGAAGTCTACCATCCCAACTTCTGTGCAAGGCAGCTTGGCTGTCCTCAGCTCATACCCCTCAAGTCATACAGAAGCTGCAATCGGGGGTCTTCTTGGAGGGACGTGGATGACCTGGAGGTCCATAAAGATGCCAGGTGTGCGGTGAAACAAGATCAACAATAGTGCGGATGCCCTTTATCCTTCATGGTAATCTCTCAATCTTTATCCGTTGTTGCCCATTCTGCTTTTTTAATGATGATGCTGATCTTTTCTGTCTGTGCTCAGATCCTTCTCTGACAAAGAATATAGGCAGCCAGCCCGCCAAAAGTGGGAGAGGGTTGTTTTTAAAAAAAAAAAAAAAAAAAAAAAAAAAAAAAAAAAAAAAAAAAAAAAAAAAAAAAAAAAAAAAAAAAAAAAAAAAAAAAAAAAAAAAAAAAAAAAAAAAAAAAAAAAAAAAAAAAAAAAAAAAAAAAAAAAAAAAAAAAAAAAAAAAAAAAAAAAAAAAAAAAAAAAAAAAAAAAAAAAAAAAAAAAAAAAAAAAAAAAAAAAAAAAAAAAAAAAAAAAAAAAAAAAAAAAAAAAAAAAAAAAAAAAAAAAAAAAAAAAAAAAAAAAAAAAAAAAAAAAAAAAAAAAAAAAAAAAAAAAAAAAAAAAAAAAAAAAAAAAAAAAAAAAAAAAAAAAAAAAAAAAAAAAAAAAAAAAAAAAAAAAAAAAAAAAAAAAAAAAAAAAAAAAAGTTTACTCCTATGATGGAAGGGCAAAGTTCCCCACTGCCTTGAGAACCATAGACTGGTCGACAAGTCAGCTTTCTTTGGTGTGCGAGCGTGCCACTGCTAGTAATGAACAGTCTAGCAGACTTAGTCTGGAATGGATAACTTGCGCCCCAAGTTACTGATTTCCTAAACAAACGATTGTGAATTTGGGTGAGGAATATCTCCCAAGTAAGTTCTTTTCTTGCCTCAGACTGGTGAGGACTTTAACAATTTATCTCAGTATAAAGAGGTTGTTCTGGCCAGAATAGTTGATGAAATTTAAGCTGTTTTTGGGCGGAAGTGCCTTTTACAAGACTACAAAAATACATGTCGATGCAAAAAAGATAAAGAGATAGCTAGATCTCCATTTCTGCCTGGATGGGAGGCTCTGTGATGGGCTGGACTGGGAATATCTGGGCTGGACTGGATCGTAGACAACTACAAATCGATGCCAAAGGTTGATTCTGGCAGAGCTTTAATGTACCTCAAGCTTTTGCGAAGCTTCTGAGTAGGCAGAACTGCGGTTTCTTCAGTCTGAAAGGGCAGAAGTGGCTGTTCTTGAGGACGTTGGTGAGCTAGAGGCTATTCCGTGAATTTGGCTGGGGTTTTCCATACTTGGAGGAGGCTCAAACTCTGCTTGTGTTGGTTTTTGCTGAACCAAATTTGTAACGAGAGAAATCTCGTTTTGAATGACTTGCTTTCTAAGTCTGGATTCTGGGCATTCTGATCTGGGACTGGTTTTTCACTTGAAATTCAAGTGGACTTGTTGGTCGACTCTGAGCTTGTTTATGTGACGGTTTGCCTGTGTAGGACCTTTGTTTGGTTGAGTGATGAAATTTTTGGTAAGATTGATTGTCCTTTGCCCTGTTCACTCCTTCTTGTATTTATAAGAGATGTCTTCTGGAGTAGGGTAATTCTTTTAATAATGGGCGGCAAATCCTTTCAAAAGATTTTCCTTTTTTTAAAAAAAAATGGAAAAGAAAAAGAAAGAAAAAGGTTTCCTCAGTTTTTGGTAGATAGGCTCTCAACAGATAGGCAATCTCTTTCCCTGATTTTTCTTGAAAAGGAACCTAATCTCTTTCCCAATTTCAACTGCCCCTCGTGATATTTTGCCGGTGATGGTTAGTTTTGACTCCTTTTCTGGACAGCTTCCTACTTTCCTGCTTATCCCTCCCTGAGATTGTAACTTGCTTATCTCCTTGGGAGAATTACCTTCTGAAAAGACAGGGAAAAAAATCTCTGAGTATGTATATATATATCATGTATGTGTGAGAGGGATTTGATCTTTAGCTTTTCCAGAATCAATCTTGATATTATGAACCCTTCAATTACTTTTCCTGTGACAGTTGCCATTGCTGACTTTTCTTTTTTCAGAGAGGTCACGTGGGATTGTTCCTACTTCTGGGCTTTCTTCTTTCTTTTATATTGGGTTTTGGGCTGGTCTCCTCTGGCTTTTGGGCTTCCATCTTTCTTTGATTTTTTGCAGCTTCATTCTGGGCCTAAATTTTGCTGGGCTGGGTATGCCAATTAGTGGCCCAAACAATGCCCCCTTAAGTCTGAATCGTTTTGAAACGGTTTTCAGACTTAAATGACATGGCCATTAAATTGGCGCGTGGTAGATTCCTTCATTTATCCCACGTCTGCCACGCTTCCCCACTAAGCTAGTGCTCGTGTGGCGCAGTTCTTCAGTTACTAGCCCTTTATTAGCTTAGTCACTATCAGATTGACGCTTTGTCTTCTCCACGTCGCTGTCATCTCTTTCCCACGTTTTCTGGCTTCTTTAAAAGTCTTTCGAAAACCACTGTTCCTGTTCACCTGAAAACCTAGTATTTTCAAACTTGATTCCTTCGTGTTTTCGAAGAACTTCCTTTTGCTTGATCCTGCCTTGCCCTTCCTGTGAACCCCCCTTTTAGAAAAAAATAACTTTCCAAGAGATGTCTTCCCCGAAATCCCGTGCTCAGTCTTCCTCTGTTCCAGTTCTTCCAGACTATGTTACTGGGGCTGGAATCGATAGTCATGCGATAGAGGTTAGGAGCAAGCTCCATCCTTTTGCCCAGAAAAACCTGGATGAAAATGTCCTCCATTTATTTGAAAACACCTTGGTGCTGGGGCCTCACTGGTTTGGCCCCGTTCCTCCCGAGATGGCGGAGTTGATGAAGAAGGATGCTGAGGCCCCGCTATGTTTCGAGAGCTCTTCTGCCCTGGCTTCTCATTCTTGGGTCAGCAAGAATTTGAGTCGTTCGTTCCCATCCAGTGAGGTGAGAAATAGTCCAATCAAGTGGGCTGATTGGATTGACAGACTTCTTCCTCGATTTGGGGCTCACTGGAAGCGGGCTGGAATCCATGACGCCATTCTCCTATCCAGGCAATCTATCAACAGGGATGAGAATCTGCTTGCTGCTGCTTTGTGCTTCTGGAACTCTGCCAGTAACACTTTTGATTTCCGTATAGGCCCCATGGCTCCCACTCTGCTGGATATGGCCCAGATTTTTGGTTTTAGGCCTCACGGAAGACCTGTTGATGCCATTGGTGATTATCACAGGAAGAAGGACCAGCAGAAGCTAGCCAAGCCATTCACTATTTCCCCAGCCTTGATCAACCAGAATTGCTCCTTCTCCAACTATCTTAGAAAATTTAGTGCTGAGAAGGACAAAGATCAGCAGCATATGTTGTTTCTCCTGTATTGGCTGAACAGGTTTATTCTGCCCAATCGTTCTTCTGCAGTTCTGCTTGAGTACAGACATCTGGCAGAAGCTCTGCATAATCACACTGATGTTGGCCTTGGACCTACAGTTCTGGCCCATCTGTTCAAGAACCTGCATACCGCTACTCTGGAGTATCCGCTGAATCTGTCTGCTCCTGGTGCCTTCTGGATGATTCAGATCTGGCTGCAGGTCTATTTTCCTGAGTTAAGGTATCCAGACATAGTTCTGCCTGAGAACCAAGTTCTGGCTCAACCGTTGCTGTCAGCAGAAGTCCCCAAGCGGTCAATTGGTGAATACCTGATGATGTTCAGGCATTGTACCAAGAGGTCTGCAGCGCAGTGGCAGATGGTGATTAGGAGGACCTATCCTTGGTTTCAGCCTGGACATCGTCTGTTTGAGAAAGAGCCAGAAGAAGAATCCGCCAGAACTGATTTTAGGAAGAAGTTCCTGAGTGTGACCTTACCCAGGGATCTGCCTCATGGAGGGGGAAAGCCTCCAAATTATCATTTGGGGGCGGAAGTCTACCATCCCAACTTCTGTGCAAGGCAGCTTGGCTGTCCTCAGCTCATACCCCTCAAGTCATACAGAAGCTGCAATCGGGGTTCTTCTTGGAGGGATGCAGATGACTTGGAGGTCCATAAAGACGCCAGGTGTGCCGTGAACAAGATTAACAACAGTGCAGATGCCCTTTATCCTTCCTGGGAATTGAACTCCTGCAGTTCTGTGGAGTTTGATGCTTGGTGGAAAGCCAGATTCCGTGATCTGCCTGCTTCTAGCACCGCACTTCAAGTCCTTTTTAAAGGCTGGGACAATTGGAATGTCCATTCAGACGACGAGACTCACAGATTCATGGTGCAGACCATCAAAGACATCAACATGCAAATTATAGAAGGTAATCTCTCTATTCTGTCTGTTGTTGCCTATTCTGTGTTTTAGTGATGATGCTAATCCTTTCTATCTGTACTCAGATCCTTCTCTGACAAAGAATATAGGCAGTCAACCAGCCCAAAGCGGAGAGGTGTTTGGTAAGTTGTGTTTTTTGTCCAGTCTTTGGCTACTCCCTACTGGATTGACCTTTGACTTTTGTCTTCTGCATAGTCAATTCTGTCATTGCTGCTGGAGATCTGGAGTTGCCCTCCGGGGATGGAGAGGAGGAAGAAGAAGAAGAGAAGAGGGAGATCAGGCAGAACAGACTCCTGTTGAGGCCACTTCTCCCGTCAGAAGAAAAGAAAAGAAACTGCCCAGTCTGCGGCTCCAGGTATTCTTTGATGATTTCTCCCCTTTTTTGATTTCTTCATAATCTTGTTCTGTCTTATTTTTAAGACTTATTCTGTCTGTTTGCAGTTGGAGGTCCCTCTCCTCCTCTTACTAAGTCAAAAAGACTTAGAAAGAAGATTGCAGAAGAATACGTGGCCCCGGAGGGAACTGGGGCAGTTCCTACCACCACTTCCGGCACGGATGATGATCTGAGAGAGGCTTTCGAAGCTGTGGAGCAAGAAAGGGAGCTGGAAGAGCTGGAAAAGGTAGGAGAGGAGCCCCAGGAGAAGGCCAAGTCAGTGGAGGAGGAGGTGAGTCTGTATTTATATCTGGGAGCATTTGTTCCTGCTGCACCTTGATCTATTCTGTTCTGACTTCCGTGCATTCTGTAGGAGGAAATTCCTGCTGAGGTGATAGCGGAGAGCATTGCCTTGGCTCGGAAGCAGCAGGAAGATATAGGGGCAGGGCTGACCAACTCAGAGGTGGCCCTTTTTGATGATCCAGAGGCAGAACATTCCACTGCCGCTCCAGCAGCTGAGGACCAAGTGGAACAATCCGGATCGGAGCCTGGGGATCAGGCAGAACAAGTGGTTCCTACTCCTGAAATTGTAGCAGGAGTGGCTGCTGCCGTTCCTGGGTTTGTGGTGAGTTCTGTCCTTATTCTGTCGTTTCTCATTTCGTTCTGTCCCTTGGTCCCTTCTGACCCTCGAATCTTTACAGGTGGAAGCACAAAGAACTGCTGGGACTTTGGCGGTGAGGACCACCCCCTTGCAGCCTCCGATTGTTGCAGTGAGTGTTTTTTTGCGGTTCTATCTTCTTCTTCTTGTCTCTGCCCTGTTCTTGACCTTATGCTTCCTTCTGCAGATGCCTATTCATTCTCTTGCAGGTTCATCTGCCACGGCTTCTTTTGCTGACCCGGAGCTGGCAGAATTTGAAGCCATGGACCTAGATGCCCAGCTGGATAGTTGGAAAAGCTCAGCTCTCCTGTTGGTAAGACAAAGTCCAGGGCAGTGGAAGAAGCAATGGAGAGACTGAAGATCTGGCAGTCTGCTGAATTGGAGCTGGATGAGGATAGAGAGGCCTTTGATCAGTTGATGAAGGATCTGGATCTGCTGCATAGACAGAACATGGCCCCAAGACCCATTCTTGAGATGAGTCTTGTCTTGGCAAGGGACGTGCTCAACCTTCACGACCGTTATGAAGACCTGAAGCCTACCTTCGAAACCTCTGAGTTCTGCAAGGCCACTCATGAAGCCAACTTGGCTGATTTTGCAAAGCAGAAGGCAGAACTGGACCAGATGGTTGCGGGGTATAAAGAAGCCAAAGCTGCTGGGGATAAATTGGAAAAAGAGATTGCAGAACTTCAAAAAGCAGCTGGCAGAGCGTCGGGAAGTGCAGCACAGGCTCGGGGCTGGATTGAGTTCTAAGACCAAGGCTACTTTCCTTGTGCAGAACATGGTTGCAGCTTCTAGGCCAGCCCTGGAGATTGCAGAAGCTTCAATTCATCAGGGTGTTTGCTCCAAAAGGAACTTTCTACCAAGAAGACTAACCTGCAGGAGACTCTTAGAAAACTAGGATTTTAATTTCGTTATTTTCGCTTTTCTGAACAGCTTGCCGTGGGGAAGGCCCCATGGTTTATTTATTTTTAATAAAGTTCATTTTATTTCTATTGATGGATCGACGGAAAACAGAAGTAGGAATACAACAAAAGGGATAGACTGAAAGTAAAAACAAGGGTAACTTTCAAAAGATTTTTTAGTTAAATCTTGTGTCTATCCCCAGGGTCTGTTTGTACAGCCTGTGAATCCCACATGGTTGGATAAAACTTTTTTAACCATTTGCCATTGATCGGGGCCGTATGAACTTCTCCATCCCTATCCTGCAACCTGTATGCCCCCATTCCAAGGATCTGGTTGATTATGAAAGGGCCTTCCCATGTAGGTGACCATTTTCCATAACCAGCCACATGTGTTCCAAGGGGCAGAACTGCTTTCCAGACTATCTCCCCTTCTTCAAAACTCTTGTTCCTGACTCTTTGTTGTAGGCCCTTGATACAGCCTGTTTTCCTGCCAGGAGTTTGTTGAGAGTGTCAATTCTGGCTGCATCCAATCCCTCCAGTTCCAGCAGCATGGCCTGGGAGTAGTCTTCTCCTACTAAGTCATGTTGGTGAGCAATTCTGAGGGACTGAACAGCTATCTCCATAGGCAGAATTGCATCATGACCGTAGGTTAACGCGTAGGGAGTCATGCCAGTCGCTTCTCTCTTTGAAGTTCTATATGCCCACAGAGTTTCTGACAGCTTCTCATGCCATTGTTTTGGATTCTTTTCAAGCATTTTCCTGATAATGTTGATGATCACTTTGTTGCTTGATTCCGCCTGTCCATTGGCTTGGGCATAATAAGGAGTGGATTGGAGCAGTCTGAATTTGAAATGCCTCTGCCATGTCCAGCATTTCTCTAGATATGAAAGATGACCCTCTATCAGTTGTGATTGATTCTGGGATGCCAAATCTTTGGATAATCTGTTCTTCTATGAAAATGATGATCTCTTGAGATGTAGTGGATTTAACAGCCTTGGCCTCCACCCACTTGGTGAAGTAGTCTGTGGCAACAATGATAAAGCAGTGCTGCTGGCTGCTGGCTGGATAGATCTTGCCAATAAGATCCATTGCCCATCCTCTAAAGGGCCATGGTTTTACCACTGGATTCATGGGAACTGATGGAGCCTGCTGGACTGGGCCGTGTCTTTGACAAGATTCACACCCCTTGGAATAGTTAATGCAATCTTTCATCATGGTTGGCCAGAAGTAGCCATATCTCCTAATTAACCAGCACATTTTTCTTCCCACCTTGATGTGCTCCACAGATTCCTTCATGGGTTTCCCCCATAACTTTCATGTATTCTTTCTTCCCGAGGCACCTTAAAAGCACCTCATCCTTACTCTTTCGGACCAAATCTTCATTCCACATAAGGTAGTTTAAAGCCATGATTCTGACTTTCTTCTCAGAGGGCAAAGTTGGATATCGTAGATAGGTCATGATAGGATTCCTCCAATCATCTTCAGTGATTGTGGCAGAGTTGACATCTATCTCCATCCCCCTGGCCAGAACCGATGGTAAGCTTTTCTTTCCTATCTTGATGATTCTTTGTACACAGTCTTCGGGTATTTGTATGCCTGTTGCCACCTGGGCCAATTCATTGGCTGCAAAATTTTCTTCCCTTGGGATATGTTCCCAAGTGGCCTCTCTGAATTCTGTCAGAAGATTCCTAGCTGCCACCAAGTAGACAGCCAGAGAAGGGCTTAGGCACTTGTATTCCCCAGCAATTTGTTTTAGAACCAGCATGGAATCTCCCAGGATTTCCACAGACTGGATTCCTAATTCTACCAGCATTTCCAAGCCAATGATTAAGGCCTCATATTCTGCCCTATTGTTGGTGCATTGGAAATCTAATTGGAAAGAGTAGCAGTGTCTGATTCCAAGTGGTTCTTCCAAAACAATTCCTGCCCCGGAAGTTATATCAGTTTTTGATCCATCAAAGTATAACTTCCAAGGTGTAAGATGACTGAGTAGATAGGATTGTTGAGGCAGGTGTGAGCTCTGGTTAATAGATCTGCATTTGCTATGTCTAAAGAGTCCATATTTTCAATCTCCTCTCCGGGATGATCTGCTAGGAAGTCTGCCACAGCTTGTCCTTTGACGGCTTTCTGAGGGACATATCTGAAGGCAAATTCTGTCAAGGCCAAGGTCCATTTTCCAATTCTGCCTCTCAGCATTGGTCTTGTCAGCATGTATTTGATCAGATCTGTTTTGGCAATGATATAGATGGTGTGGTAGCATGTAATGTCTGAGCTTTACAGCAGTGAAGTACAAGGGCTAGGCAAAGTCTCTCAATTGCAGAATATTTCCTTTCCACTTCTGTCAGAGTTCTGCTTAGGTAGTAAACCGCCTGTTCCTTTCCTTCCTTGTTATCCTGAACCAATAAACTTCCAATGGATACTTCTGATGCAGATATATAGAGCTTGAGTGGCCTGCCTCTCTTCGGCGGGGACAGAACTGGTGGATTTGAGAGGTAATGCTTGATTTCCTCAAAAGCTTGCTGGTGTTGTTCTTCCCACTTAAAGGTTTGTTCCTGTTTCAATCTTAACAAAGAAGAGAAAGGCTGGATCTTTCCTGCAGAATTGGATATAAATCTCCTTAAAAAATTAATTTTTCCTAAGAGACTTTGCAATTCTTTCTTGTTCCTAGGCGGTAAAGCTTCTATGATGGATTTTGCTTTGTTCTTGTCGATCTCTATGCCTCTTTGGTGGACCAAGAATCCTAGGAAATTTCCCGCTTGAACTCCAAAAACGCACTTCTTTGGGTTCATTTTCAGTTTATGTTGCCTCATTCTGAGGAATGCTCTTCTTAGATTTGTCATGTGGTTTCCCTCCTCTGGTGATTTGATCACAACATCATCAATATACACTTCCAAGGAATGCCCTATCATATCGTGGAAAACAGAATTCATTGCCCTTTGATAGGTAGCCCCTGCATTTCTCAAGCCAAAAGGCATTACAGTGTATTCAAAAGCACCTATATGCCCTGGACACATGAAGGCTGTCTTGTGGATGTCTTCTTCTGCCATCATGATCTGATTGTAACCTGCGTTGCCATCCATAAAAGATAGCATCTGGTTGTGGGCAGCTCCATCTACTAGCATGTCTGCCATTGGCATAGGGTATTCATCCTTGGGAGAGGCTTCATTCAGGTTTCTGTAATCCACGCAGATTCTGACTGCCCCAGTTTTCCTTTTTAGAACTGGTACAATGTTAGCTAGCCAATCAGCATAGATGGCAGGCCTGATGAATCCTGCTTTGAGCAGCCTTTCTATTTCTTCTTTGACTTTCAGTTCTGTGTCCATGGACATTCTTCTTCTGGCCTGTTTGACTGGAAGGTATCCCTCTTTGATTGGTAGCTTGTGTTCTACCAATTCCCTGTCTAATCCTGGCATCTCGTGATAATGCCAAGCAAAACAATCTTTGAACTCTTGTAGAAGTGCAACGAGTTCATTCTTAAGTGGCTCTTTTAATAGTGCGCTTATGAAGGTTGGCCTTGGATCCTCCTCTGTTCCCAAATTTATTTCCTGCAAAGGATCTTCTACCTCTGGCAGAGAGTCATCCAATGCGGCTGGTGCGAAATCTAGCACTTCCTCCTGTAGTTCCTCTTCCTCCTGGCTTTCCGTACTTTCATGAGTGAATTCTGCCATATTGATGGCTGGATTCTGTGCAAACAACTTTCTTTCCTCCCAGTATATCAACAATCTTTTTGTAATGGACCGGATTGTTGCAGCTCGATCCTTTTCTTGTTGATTGGGACTAAACATCAGTGCTTTGGAAATTTAGGACAAAAGGTCTGTTCCAATCCTCCAAAGAATTGGTTAGACCTTCTTCAATGAGTCTCTGGGCCGTGACACCATGGGGGCGGCCGTTCTGGTTGACTCCAAAGAAAGTGAAAGGACCAAGGTCATCATGATAGTACCTTGCCTCACAACACATGGCAGAAGGTAGGAATGGCCGTGGATCGGCCTCTACTATCTCCATGTAGCCATCTTCGTTCCATAAAGCTAACTGTTGATGAAGAGTGGAAGGGAACACACAGACTCTGATGAATCCAATCTCTGCCAAGCAATGCATTGTAAGTGGTGGAGTAGTATCTACCACAAAGAATGCAACCTTCAGCTTCTTGCTTCCTACCAAGACATCTACATCCAGAATCCCAAGGGTTTTGGTGATGCCCCCTGCGAAGTTGGTGACGGTCAGGCGGGTTGGGATTAGATCCTTTTCTGTTCTGCCCATTTTGCTCAGCATTCTGTGAGGCAGAAGGTTGATGGCTGCACCTCCATCTACCATGGTTTTGGGGATAGGAACACCCCCAAAGTTTGCTGTTATAAACAAGGGTCTGAGGTGGTTTGCCATTTCTTTGGTTGGTTTGGAGAAGCAAAGGGGACCTGTTGCCAGCTTGTGGGTTGCTCCTTCTATCCTGGGATTGCCTGTTTGCTGTTCTGGCATTTCTTCCGTTTCTGCCAACCTGCATTCAAAACTTTCTTGGGAAAATACGTCTCCGTCCAGAGTGCTCTTCTGTCCTTCTACCGCCCAGAACTTTTCTGGCAGAATGAACACCATATTGATGCCTAGGTCAGCACGTAACAAGTCCTCCAATTCTGCACCAAAGGCCTCAGTTTCCGCATCCAACTCTCCGTCATAATCCATCTGTTCTCCATCATATTCCTCCGTCCATTCTCCCAGTTCTTCTGTCCCGAGGAGCGTATTCTGGTCATCTGTAGATGGCTCATAATCCAGCTGCTCCTCTTCATCTTCCTCAACCCAGTCTTCTTGTCCTTCTCCTGGAACAGGATCGGTTCTTTCCTCTAGTTGGGGAGTTTCAAGTAGACCTCTTGAGGCGGAGGCAGGATGGATAGAAGGTTTCTCTGAGGATTCTGCTTTTGTCAACTTCTGTAGTTGAGAGATTGCTTGTTCTGTCTGGGGAAGTATTTCTGGTTCTTTCCCTTTTTTGGCAGAATTGGCCTTTGGAAGCACCTGTGCGTTTTTCTCGTTGTTGAGGAATGTGCAGTACTGTCTCTGAACCCTTCTCCTTTGGGTTCTTGTTAGCTCCATTGTTGGTCTGCCATTCTTCCCGACAGAATACCACCTGCCTTCAATGATGGCCGCCAAAGGTTTGTCACTTCCGGGCACTTTTATTGATATTTCCTCCTTGGGCTGCTTAGTCACTCTTCTGTTGGATTGGACAGGCCTAGGGTAGTTTCTCTGTCTGACCCTATCATGGGGCGTGGTTCCGATCCGGTCAAAAACACTTGGAGTGGGCAGCTCCTGTTTTTCCAGGACTACTTCCAACTCAGCCTCACAATTGCACCTGCTGCAGAGCACTATTCCAGCTGAAATGGTTGCTTTTGGTCTTTCCATAGTCTCCTTTGAAACTATTCTGCTTCCACTGGAGCCAGCCTGCATGGCTGGTCTGTCCTTCTTCCGTTCTGGCCAATTTAGGTTGACCATGTTAACTTGTGGCTGGGGAAAAGGATCTGTGGTGACAGATGGAGGTTTCTCTGCTAGCTTCAGCCTTCCTGCTGTTATCCCTTCCTGTATGACATCTCTGAAAACAACACAACTATTGGTAGAATGATTCCAAGAATTGTGCCATCTGCAATACTGTCTGCCCTTGAGTTCTTCTGGCTTGGGCATTCTGTGAGGTGTCTCTATTGCTTTCTGTAGCAACATTTCATCAAACAAGGCATCTACTTTGGTCAGATCGAAGGAATACACTTTGTTCTGCATGGGTTTGTTTGGAACAAACCCTCCTGTGAATGGTGGCGGCTTCTGATCCCTTGGGGTTTTGTAAGAGTTTTACAACTGATGGGATGCTTTAATTTTGCCATTTCCGCAACTGCAACCTCTCTCTCCTCTGATTCCTCCGCATCTTCTTCTGACTCTACTTCAATCATATGTATTGAGGAGGAAGGGGATTTATAATACGTGCCTTTGGAAGAGTTTCTCTTCTGCTGTTCCTCTCTGAGCAATTCCTCGTACTTGGCCGCTTTATCTGCCAGTTCTGCCAGATCTCCAAACAGCATCCCATCAAATCTTTTCCTCAGAGAGATTTTGAGGGCAGCCTGAGCCATTTGATGAAGTGTCTTTCTTCGATGGGGATTCGGCACTTCATTTTGAGCTTCCTGAACCTGTTTATAAAGTCTTGGGCAGGTTCATCTTCACTCTGTTTGAGAGCTGCAAGGTCACTGATGGTGACTTCTGGCTGGATCCTGTAATAGTAGTCATGGAAGACGCTCTCCATTTGCTCCCATGTCTGAATGAATTTGCTGGCAGATTGGTGTACCAAGTGAAAGCTTGTCCAGAGAGAGAATTCCCAAAAAGCCTTAGCTTTAGCAGTGGGTTATTCTCTATGGCTATGCATTGGGTAGAAAATCTGCCTACGTGCTCAACTGATGAAGCATGAGGATCCTCTCCGTTGAATAAAGTGAAGTTTGGTACTTTAAAGCCTGGGGACAAGGGTATCTGATCAATGTAAGGTGGATATGGCTTCCTATAGGTGGGCCTTTCCCCCCTCCTGGCCTCAGGCTCCATCATTTCCCTGATCATCCTCTGCAATGCCCCCACGTCATTTAGAGCATTAACAGGGAGGAGGTTTTGTCCCTGTTCTGGCTGGGCATGATTGAATCGTGGTTCTGCCCTATATGGTCTAGGCAGAACTTCTTCCCTGTGCTCCTCCGGCTCCTCCAGGCCTGGGTGGTTCCTCCAGTTTGCCCCCTGCCTGTTCCTGTCGTTATTAGCATAAGGGTAATTTCCCCCTCTGCCTCTCCTTCCTCTTGCAGGTGGAGGGAATGGATTGGGGTCCATCCTTCTGGGCCTGTAGGGTACCACTGCTGGCTGTTCAGGCAGAATTTCCATAGGGTGATCTTGTGGGGCCGCTTGTTGCGGAGCAGGCTGAGGCTCTTGCTGATTCTGTGGAACTTGTCCTGGCGCAGGACCTTCTGGCCGTATTGGGGCTAGACGTTCTTGGATAGGAAAAGCCACTTCCCCGTGTCCAGCCTGGATTCCCCCTCGTTCTGGTATCCCAGCTATCTGTGCAACAAGAGGATTCTCTTGATATGGCCATGCCAATCCTGGTGGGGGACCATAGGGAAGGTCTAGTTGCTGGACCACCTCATCGGGATTGGGGATTCTGGCCATGGCAGCCTCTCGATCCTTCCTGAATTGCCTGTTGACCTGCCATTGCATCATGGCTGTCATATTATTTAGAGTATCCTGGCTCCTTTGTGTTGTGACCTCTTGTCGTAACACAGATTCCTGTATCAGGTTCATCCTTCTGGAACCGGTCCTGGACCTCCTACTCCCTGTGCTGCCATGTGCTGAATGCCGGGCATCACTTTCTTCTGATTCCAGTCCTTCCCTGAGGGCCACTTGGTTTATTTCCATGCCGTGGTGTGGGTTCTGGCTAGAGCTTCCGGTATTCATGAACTGGTGAAGAACTCAATGAGAATATGTATACTGAGAAGTCCCACTGGGCGTGCCAAATTGTTCACCCGTTTTGTGTTTACTCCTATGATGGAAGGGCAAAGTTCCCCACTGCCTTGAGAACCATAGACTGGTCCACAAGTCAGCTTTCTTTGGTGTGCGAGCGTGCCACTGCTAGTAATGAAAAGTCTAGCAGACTTAGTCTGGAATGGATAACTTGCGCCCCAAGTTACTGATTTCTAAACAAACGATTGTGAATTTGGGTGAGGAATATCTCCCAAGTAAGTTCTTTTCTTGCCTCAGACTGGTGAGGACTTTAGTAATTTATCTCAGTATAAAGAGGTTGTTCTGGCCAGAATAGTTGATGAAATTTAAGCTGTTTTTGGGCGGAAGTGCCTTTTACAAGACTACAAAATATATGTCGATGCCAAAAGATAAAAGATAGCTAGATCTCCATTTCTGCCTGGATGGGAGGCTCTGTGATGGGCTGGACTGGGAATGTCTGGGCTGGACTGGACCGTAGACAACTCTGATTGCCCGATTTTCAACTACAAATCGATGCCAAAGGTTGATTCTGGCAGAGCTTTAATGTACCTCAAGCTTTTGTGAAGCTTCTGAGTAGGCAGAACTGCGGTTTCTTCAGTCTGAAAGGGCAGAAGTGGCTGTTCTTGAGGACGTTGGTGAGCTAGAGGCTATTCCGTGAATTTGGCTGGGGTTTTCCATACTTGGAGGAGATTCAAACTCTGCTTGTGTTGGTTTTTGCTGAACCAAATTTGTAACGAGAGAAATCTCGTTTTGAATGACTTGCTTCCTAAATCTGGATTCTGGGCATTCTGATCTGGAGCTGGTTTTTCACTTGAAATTCAAGTGGACTTGTTGGTTGACTCTGAGCTTGTTTATGTGACGGTTTACCTGTGTAGGACCTTTGTTTGGTTGAGTGATGAAATTTTTGTTGTAAGATTGATTGTCCTTTTGCCCTGTTCACTCCTTCTTGTATTTATAAGAAATGTCTTCTGGAGTAGGGTAATTCTTTTAATAATGGGCGGCAAATCCTTTCAAAAGATCTTCCCTTTTAAAAATGGAAAAGAGAAAAAGGGGATTTCCTCAGTTTTTGGTAGATAGGTTCTCAACAGATAGGCAATCACTTCCCTGATTTTCTTGAAATCTCTTTCCTAATTTCAACTGCCCCCTGCGATATTTTGCCCGTGATGGTTAGTTTGACTCCTTTTCTGGACAGCTTCCTGCTTTCCTGCTTATCCCTCTCTGAGATTGTAACTTGCTTATCTCCTTGGGAGAATTACCTTCTCTGAAAAGACAGGAGAAAAAATCTCTGAGTATGTATATATATATCATATATGTGTAAGAGGGATTTGATCTTCAGTTTTTCCAGAATCAATCTTGATATTATGAACCCTTCAATTACTTCTCCTGTGACAGTTGCCATTGCTGACTTTTCTTTTTCCAGAGAGGTCACGTGGGATTGTTCCTACTTCTGGGCTTTCTTCTTTCTTTTATTGGGCCTGTGAGGCCCAGATTAGCCTTGTCTATTTTGACGAGTCTTGGGCTGGTCTCCTCTGGCTTTTTGGGCTTCCATCTCTCTTTGATTTCTTGCAGCTTTCATTCTGGGCCTAATTTTTGCTGGGCTGGGCATGCCAATTTGTGGCCCAAACAGCAGGAAACATGGAGCTGTTCAAAAGAGGAATCAAACTAACCATCACGGTTTGAGTTCTCACAAAGGGGCAGTTGGAATTTAAGAAGGATTAGGTTCTCTTTCAAGAAAAACAGGGAAGTGATTGCCTCTGAACTGACTATTGAGAGCCCCTTTGCCAGAATTGATAAAACCCCATTTCTTTACATTTGAAAATGAAAGATCTTTTTTTTGGGAAATTACCGCCCATTATTTAAAAGAAAGAAACCCTACTCCAAAGCATTTCTTATATAAACAAGAGGAGTGAACATGGCAAAGGACAATCAATTTTACACACTCGATTTATCAATCAAAAACAAACAAAATCAACCAAAAAGCTCACTTGAACTCCAAGAGAAACCAGCTTTATATCAAAATTCCCAAAGTTTAGACTTAGAAAATAAGTCATTTAAAACGAGATCTCTCTCGTTACAACTTTGGTTCAGCAAAAGCCAAGACATGCAGAGTTTGAGTTTTTCCCATATATGAGAACCTCAACAAATTTCATAGTGCAGTCCTTAGCACACTGAGTCCTCAAAACAGCCACTTCTGATCCTTCAGACTGAAGAAGCCGCAGTTCTGCCCACTCAAAAGCCTCACAAAGCTCAAAGTAGATTAAAGCTCTGCCAAAATTGAACTTTGGTATCGATTCACAGCAAAAGCTTAGAAGTTGAAGTTTTTGACAGTTCAGTCCAGCCCGGATCAGAGCCTTCTATCTAGGCAGAAATGAAGTTCCAATTGTCTTTTGATCTTTCTAGCGTTGATATGTACATTTATGGTTTTGTAAAGGGCAGTTTCTGCCTAAAACAGTCCAATTTCTATCAATCATTTGGGCCAGAACAACCGTTTTTATACTGAGATAAATTATGAAAGTCCTCACCAGTCTAAGGCATGAAAAGAACTTACTTGGGAGATATTCCTCACCCAAATTCACAATCGTTTGTTTTAGAAATCAGTAACTTGCGGCGCAAGTTATCTATTCTAAAAGAAGTCTGCTAGAATCTTCATTGCTAGCAGTGGCACGCTCATACACCAAAGAAAGCTGACTTGTTGACTAGTCAATGTTTCCAAGGCAGTGGGGAATTTTGCCCTTCCATCTCAGGAGTAAACACAAAACGGGTGAACAATTAAATATTTATAACCCCCACATAAATAAAATAAAATAGCCAAAATAATTAAATAAATAAACGGTTAATTTTTGAAACTTTTTTAAAATTCCAACACACTTGAGGGAAAGGGTAGGCACTTAAACTCGTAATTCAAATGGACAACGGGTTCAACTCTTAATTCTACAAGAGTAGAAGACTTTGGTTGAGCTTTCATCAATGGCAGGTATGTACTATTATAATTAATATTTTTATTTGATTCAAGATCTTCTCCTTGATGTGATTCTATGTGCGTATGCCTAAGGAATTTATGCAATTAGTTTAAAATAGTAAGTTGTCCATTTATGAATTTTATGCCTAAGGTTCTCGAACTGAAGTTGAAGAACTGAACTAGCAACAACCCCCAAGAGCACTAACCACTTTCCTGATCACCCTAGAATGCTTTTTGGACAAGAACCCCAAGGAGAAAGAACTCAACAAGAGCTTCCTCATGTGAATATGTATAGGCACGATTAGGGAGAAGGAGGCAGCAGCAGGTTCCAGATTCGTAACAATAATATTATAGCAGACCCGGGCAGTCAGAATGTTGGGGCGTCAAACTTTCATAATGTACGACGTCAAGGTGGTGGTCACGACATTTAATGCACGTCAAGGAGCCAGGAATGTTGTGTATCACAACTTTGGCAACACCACACCTGACAAAGGCTTCACCTGTTGCATCCATTGATGACAGGTTTCAACATGGTTTAAACTGCATGTGTTTTTGTACCTAGTTGATATAGTATCATTTTACTAGTCGAGTTTCATATTTTGAGTCGGATGTGATTTAATTCTTACCGTCTTTTCAAATGTTGAAATCTTCTTATGTTTTACAGTGGTATAAAAAGCCTAGTATTATCCTAAATAAAAGCCTCTTAAGAGGGAAAACTTTTATTTATTTCTTTTTTCGTTTAGATAACATATAACATTTATTTATTTTTGTTACCAAAAATTATGCCGGTTTTTATTTTTCTTTTATGTGTGTTCTAAGCTCAACTTCTTAATTGCAAATGTTTGCACATCTTGGTTTATCTGTGAAGCATAAAGCACAAATGGACATTTTAATCCTCCTCTACAAATTGCCTTTACTCTCGTCTTGTCATTTTTTTCAAAGAACAGTTTCCTTCCATGAATAATGGAATATTCCCTGAGTGCCTCTTTAAGAACCTGTCTGTTTTCAAATTGCATCCCAAGCCGAAACTCAGGATTCTTTAAGTCCACCTCCCTTCTATACTACTTCAATCGAGGAAGTTTTTTTTCCTTCTCACCTTACTTGTCCCTTCATTATCCCCTTCCATATCATCCTTATCACGCTCACTTTCAGTATCAAAATCTGAGGTGTGCTCACCATCTGATGACACCTCTCCAGGAGCTTCAAAAGCAGGCCCCTCATTGCTATCATTCATAGTGTCTTCTGCCCCTTCATGAACAAGCACTTCAACTGTTTTAAACCCAAATTCTCTTCATTGAACTCGTAATCACTATCAACAAATTCTCCATCATCTTCTTCACTGTCTACAACCTCACCTTCATCTTTATCTTCATCATCAACATTATCTTACAGCCCAGTTCATCTTCCACCCCAGTTTCATCTTCCACCTAACAAGGGTCAAAACAATGCTAAAACACACACACTTGTTTTGGAATCATAAAATCAGACAAAACCATGTTTGAATTTAATGTTCTGCACCAAAACCAAAATATACAGCACACAGTTCATTCAAATTTTTAATTGCTATGGAATAACTTCAGTCCATTTGGTGTGAGGCATAGATAGAAGACAAGAAGGGATACAAAAACCCGAAGTGTTGTAGTTAAGGACAGTATAAAGCAAAGCGTGTAAAGAATCTTTAAAGCTAAGGACCACACATATGAAAACAAAACCACTGATATGTATTCACTACTACAAAATAACCCTTGCGTGACCAAATTTTGCGCGACGAATAATTTTTCGTCGCGCAAAGACACTTTGCGCGACGAAACTCAAAACTTCGCCGCTAAAACCCTTGCGCGACCAACTTTTGCGCGACGAAAAATAATTCGTCGCTCAAAGCGACCTTGCGCGACCAACTTTTGCGCGACGACAATACGTCGTCGCTCAAAGTCTTGCGCGACCAAATTTTGCGCGACGAAAAATAATTCGTCGCTCAAAGTAACTTTGCGCGACGAAAAAAAATTCATCGCTCTAAGTAACTTTGCGCGACGAAAAACAGTTCGTCGCGCAAAGCGACTTTGCGCGACGAAAAACAATTCGTCACGCAAAGCTACTTTGCGCGACGAAACATTAACTTTGTCGCGCAAAGTCCTTATAAAATAAATAAAATAATAAATTATTTTTTAAAATCTTTGTTAGAAAAATATATTATTGTTGTTTGGATTGGGTTTTTATTAGAAAATATATTTTTTAAATTGACGATCGAATTAGTTCATTGTATTCATATAGGGTCAAAGAGTGTAGCTATAAAAAATCATCAAAATCGGAGTTAAAATAACCGTTAAATCGTGATTTTTCATTTATAACCGTCGAAAAGTTTTGTCCCATTACTTGATCTCTGAATGTTTATTTTTTTTCCGATTTTAGCGTATATGATCTCGAAGTATAAACAAACAAGTTTGACGGTTGGATCGTTAAAACTAGTTTCATAGAATGCGTATGCCATCAAAACAATATATTCACTAACAATTAAGAGTTTATTTATACTTTTGTTAAATATAACATAAGATTTTGTGGTATCCACTAGTGTAAATATTTTAAATTGAAGATCAAATTCAGTCATTGTATTCATATAGGGTAAAGGAGTGTAGCGGTAAAAAATCATCAAAATCGGAGTTAAAATAACCGTTGAATCATGATTTTTCATTTATAACCGTCGAAAAGTTTTGTCCCGTTACTTGATCTCTGAATGTTTATTTTTTGCGATTTTTGGCGTATATGATCTCGAAGTATAAAAAAACAAGTTTGACGGTTGGATCGTTCAACTAGTTTCATAGAATGCGTATGCCATCAAAACAATATATTCACTAACAATTAAGAGTTTATTTATACTTTTGTTAAATATAACATAAGATTTTGTGGTATCCACTAGTGTAAATATTTTAAATTGAAGATCAAATTCAGTCATTGTATTCATATAGGGTAAAGGAGTGTAGCGGTAAAAAATCATCAAAATCGGAGTTAAAATAACCGTTGAATCATGATTTTTCATTTATAACCGTCGAAAAGTTTTGTCCCGTTACTTGATCTCTGAATGTTTATTTTTTGCGATTTTTGGCGTATATGATCTCGAAGTATAAACAACAAGTTTGACGGTTGGATCGTTCAAACTAGTTTTATAGAATGCGTATGCCATCAAAACAATATATTCACTAACAATTAAGAGTTTATTTATACTTTTGTTAAATATAACATAAGATTTTGTGGTATCCACTAGTGTAAATATTTTAAATTGACGATCGAATTAGTTCATTGTATTCATATAGGGTCAAGGAGTGTAGCTGTAAAAAATCATCAAAATCGGAGTTAAAATAACCGTTAAATCGTGATTTTTCATTAAGAACCGTTGAAATTTTTTGTCCCGTTACTAGGTCTCCGAATGTTTGTTTTTTACAATTTTTGGGGTATACGATCTTGAAGTATATACAAACAAGTCTGACGGTTGGATCGTTGAATGGTGTGTGTATATATATATATATATATATTTACTTATTAAGTAGCTTTAAATTTATTTATTTTGTACGTATAACACTTAAGAAATTGGTATATACATTTATTAAGTAGCTTTAACCTTATTTATATTTTAAATCGTAAAAAAAATAATTTTATTATTCATAACAATTATTTTTATAAATATCGTGCTACGAACCAATTTTTCGTCTCTCAAAAGTTTGCGCGACCAACAATTCGTCGCGCAAAACTCTAAAAATTTGGGCGGGTACCAAAAATGGGACGCGGGATGAAAAAAAAATTTTTTTTTAGACTTTGCGCGACCAATATATATTTTCGTCGCGCAAAAATTTGGCGGGTACCAAAAATGGGACGCGGGAATTTTTTTATATAATTTTTTTAGACTTTGCGCGACCAATATGTATTTTTCGTCGCGCAAAAATTTCAAAATTTGGGCGGGTACCAAAAATGGGGCGCGGGATTTTTTTTTGACTTTGCGCGACCAATATACTAATATTCGTCGCGCAAAACTTTGCGCGACCAATACTCCAATATTTTTCGTCGCGCAAAGCTTTGCGCGACCAACAATGTCGTTCGTCGCGCAAAGTGATACGGTTTTTAAAATGAAAATAACTCCTCCACCATTTTCTCAATGTCTTTCTCTACTCTTTCCTCTCCTCTCTCTTTCCCTCTCCCCAAATCCCACCATTTCTCTCACTCTCACTCCTCTCACTTAATCTCTCATCATCTCTCTCTTCACTATCTCTTACTCTCACTCACTCTCTCATCTCTCTTTTCACTATCTCTCACTCTCACTCTCACTCACTCTCTCATCTCTCTATCACTATCTTCTCTAATTCTCTCACACTCATTTCTCTCTCTCATTCTCACTCACTCTCAATCTTGCCAAAAGGTAGATTCTCTCCAAATTTTAATTTTTTTTTCATTAATATGTGTTTTTGGAGTTAGTTTTGAGTTTGTGTGGGGTTTGGGGTTGAGTAAAGGGGAGGGATTGGAGTTTGGGTTGGATTTGTGGTATAACAATTTTAGGGGAGATTATCCCTTTTTTTTTATTGTACTTTGTTAATTTATGTGTACATTTTGAATATTATATATATTTATTGGATAATTTGATCACTATTTTTCATATGTAATTTTATTTTGAATATGTCAATTTAAATTAAAGTAATTAAATTAAATTAAAAAAGTAAACATTTGAATAAATTAATATCAATTTAAATTAAAGTAACGAAAAAAATCATACAATTAAATTTAATTTAAAAATTAAAAATTCGAAATAATTAATATAATTAAATTAATATTAAAGAAATAATAAAACAAAAAGTCAAAAACCAAAATATTTCGTCGCGCAAATATTTGCGCGACATTAATATTCGTCGCGCAAAACTCTAAAAATTTGGGCGGGTACAAAAAATGGGACGAGGGAATTTTTTTTAAAAAAATTTTTAAAATTTTTTCGTCGCGCAAAGTTTTGCGCGACCAATATTTTTCGTCACACAAAGTCGCTTTGCGGGACAAATATTTTTCGTCGCGCAAAGTCGCTTTGCGCGACCAATATTTTCGTCGCGCAAAGTTACTTTGAGCGACCAATATTTTTTTCGTCGCACAAAGTCTCTTTGCGCGACGAATGAAAAATTTTGTCGCGCAAAGTCTTTCTCCACGATCTTTGTGCGACGAAGTTTCTGTCGCGCTAAAATTTGTGCGACTATAATGTATTTTGCGCGATGAAATTCTCTTCGTCGCGCAAAGTGACAATATTGTTACATATACAATCAAATTGAACCATAAAATTCCCAATTAAAAAAATGTTAAAAACAAAAAATGAAAGTGGAAGGGTGGTGGTAGCGATGTGGTGCCGGTGGTGGTAGCGGGCCGGTGTCGCTGCCTAGCGCTAAGAGGCTGCACCACCGAAGAAGATGATGATGCAGCCGCCTGGGATCCCCCCAGGACCAGCTAGCACGTGGGCCTGCTCCATCAGTGCTGGAGCAGTGGCAGCTGATACCGGCTGAGCCGGGGGCTCCGAACTCGGTGTAGTCGTCACCGCCCTACGACGTCTAATCAAGTCTGACATCTGCACAATTTCATTAATCAAATTTAGCACATACAATGTCATTAAAAAATTGAACTAACTAATTAAAATCATAGTTTGACCTAGGGTTTGCGATTTCGGAGTATCCGGGACTCCGATCCACAATCCGTCGAATCCTAAACAATCCTATAAATACATGGTACCACATACGTGAGTTTCAGCTCGATCCAACGGTCCGAACATATCAAACCCGAAAATCGCACAATAGGTTCGAACCGTTCGAGACTCAAACGATAACCAAATTCCAATCCGAGCACACCTACGCGCTCGTGACAACGAAATGTTTGCACTGGGACCCAATGCCCTACGCCACAGTACCCCACGCGCCACCACACGCGTGGGTGCCCAAAGCGATAACAATCACCGAAATCCTAAAAATTAAGGGCCAAGGTTCCTACCCTAGGTTCAAAACATCAATTGGAGGCACTTTTGTTCTCGGACCTACCCCGAAAAAACGGCCGGAAGTGGCCGGAATTTCAATTTCAAAACCGGCCGAAACCTAGGGTTTCAAATTCACTACCCTATGCACACAATCAATCAAATCCTACCCAACCATCAGCTAAAGCATCAAAAATAGTCCAGAAAGCATACCTCAATTGCCGGATTTGGTGCCCGGAGGAGAGAGAACAACGGCGGCGAAGATTCGGCCTAAACGGAGGAAATCACGGCGGCAGGATGGACGGCGACGGCGGAGAAGCTCCAGGGTTTCGACGCTTGTGGCGGCAGGGTTTGAATTGGGGCGGAGTAGGGGCTGAGGTCACGGCGGAGAGAGAGGGAGTTTTAGGGTTCCGTTTGAGAAACTGGGGAAGAAGGAGAAGATCGCGATTTTCAGAAAACTTATTTGACTTTGCGCGACGAATAACCAAATCCGTCGCGCAAAATTCATTAAAATAACTTTTGCGCGACGCAAAACTGACTTTCTGTCGCGCAAGGTTTTAAAAATATGACCTTTGCGCGACCTAAAAACATACTTTCGTCGCGCAAAGTTCTGAAAATATCACCTTTGCGCGACGAAACAACTAGTGTCGTCGCGCAAGTTTGTCCAGCCGCCCAAATTTTGGGATTTTATTTTGCGCGGGGAAGATAAATGAAATGATATTGCGCGACGAAGAGACCTAAGTTTGTCGCGCAATCTAGCTTTTGCCCAAAAATTTTTTCGCTAAGTGTTGGAGAGAAGGGCTGCAATTTTTTTTTCAACATTTTTGCACGACGAAGGCACTTGCGTTCGTCGCGCAATCTAGCTTTTGCCAAAAAAAATTTCGCTAAGTGTTGGAGCAGAGAAGGGCTGCAATTTTTTTTCATCATTTTGCGCGACGAAGGGACTTGCGTTCGTCGCGCAATCTAGCTTTTGCCAAAAAAAATTTCGCTAAGTGTTGGAGCGGGGAAGGGCTGCAATTTTTTTTCATCGTTTTGCGCGACGAAGGCACTTGAGTTCGTCGCGCAATCTAGCTTTTGCCAAAAAAAATTTCGCTAAGTGTTGGAGCGGAGAAGGGCTGAAATTTTTTTTCATCGTTTTGCGTGACGAATTCAATGTCCATTCGTCGCTAATCTTTTGCGCGACGAATTCAAGTTGATTTCGTCGCGCAAACCCATACCCTTGTACCCTAAACCTAAAACCTACCCTAAGCCCTAAACCCGAACTCCTGAACTAGTTTCAATGATCCAACCGGCAATCTTCCTTTTTTATAGTTCAAGATCGTATACGTCAAAAATCATAATGAATGAACATTCAGAGATTGAGTAAGGGACAAAACTTTTCGACGGTTCTAAACAAATTGTCCCGATTCAACGGTGATTTTAACTCCGATCTTGAAAATTTTTTACAGCTGCGGTTCTTGACCCTATATGAATACAGAGATGTAATTCGATCTTCAATTTCAGATATTTACAGTACAGGACATCACATAATCTTATGTTATACTGAATGAATGTATAAATAAATTCTTCATTTTTTATGAATATTGTGTTTTGATGGAATACGCATTCTAGGAAACTAGTTTCAGTAATCCAGCCGTCAAATATGTTTGTTTATACTTCGAGATCGTATACGTCGAAAATGAGAAAAAAAAAACATTCAGAGATCAAGTAACGGGACAAAACGTTTCGACGGTTATAAACGAAAAGTCATGATTTAACGGTTATTTTGACTCTTATTTTGATGATTTTTTACAGCTACACTGTTTAACCCTATGTGAATACAGTGAACTACTTCGATCGTCAATTTCAAATATATACGTGTGTATATATCAGAAATATATATATGTATATGTTTTGCGCGACGAGGTCTTTTTGTTCGTCGCGCAAAAGTTACTTGCGCGACGGAAATATTTGTCGCGCAAATGCGCAAATAATAGAGTATGCGCGACGTGTACGTTTTCCGTCGCGCAAATGTGCGCGACAATTATGCCTTTGTCGCGCAAGGTTATTTTCATTCACATATTATTAAGCTGAATTATTCATCATTACATATATTAATTGTATGAAAGTATGATTTATTCTATTTTCTTTTGATTTGAGAATTGAAGGATTGTTGATAATCTTATTTTCTTTGTATTCATTTTTTCGGTTATATGGTTTTCATTTTTTAAAAGTTTTTTGTCAAAATAAATTTAAACTTTATTATTAAATTACTTGGAGATATTTATTTACCAATGGTTTATAACTACATTTATTTTAATAATGTTTCATTTCTGCACATATATAATGTTTGGATATAACAAGTACATATATGAAAACATTTGCATTACACAAAATATGTCCACTAACATAATAAAATTACAAAAAAATTCATCATTCATCATTTGAACTATAATAACTTTCGTTACCATCGCTATCATCACTTTCGGTCTCCCAATCCTCTTCCTCCTCCTCCTCCTCCTCCTCCTCCTCCTCCTCTAAACTACATCATCGTCGTTGCTCGGGCCAACTGCAACATCGTATCGCGGAAGATCACCGAGGTCAATTGTAATTGACTGAATCGGTATTTCGATTGAAGACACTCCTTGTATTTGAAATGGCTCTTGTATAACATTAGTATCTCGAAGTGTTTCCGCATCATTTTCCATTGAAGATTCTAAACGTTGGTCAGCCCACATTGTCGACGTCGTTGTCAGTTGGGTCTAGTTCTGGTATAGCATACACGTTCCTGTGATCCATCTTTTGAACAACGTTCCAACCGCTTCCGGCTTTAGGGTCATCTAGATACACAATTTGTGTTGCCATGTTTGCCAAAATATAAGGGTCGCCATCATACCAAGTTTTGTTCATGTTCACAGATAGTAAGCCATGATCGATTTTAACACTTCCCGCCTATTTGGGTTGGTGTCAAACCATCGACACTTAAACATGATCACTTGGTATCGATCTTTGTAAAGCAATTGCACGACAGTTGTGAGTTTGCCATAGAAATCAATGTCCGTACTTTCGCCTCCACCTGGGACATGGACACCGCTGTTTTGCGTACACAACTTGTCATCTCGTGCTTCCCCCCAAAAATTTGACGCCGTTGACATTACAACCCGAGAACAATTCAGCGCGAATCGGGCCGAACGCCAAGTTATATAACTCATCACTGTAAGTTGGGGGAATTCGATGATTTCAACTTATTCACCTAATATTATACAAAACCATTCATATGTTTAGTCTGACAAAATTAAAAACAATTTATATTTCTCAAATAACAAACACTGATAACTTACAGAATCCAAAAACCATTGTGGAAACAATTCACGGTGTTTCTGGGCAACCAAATGTGATGGATGTTCTCGCTTCATCATCTCTTCATGCTCATATAAGTATCCCATGATCTCATCACAATTGTTCAGTACGAACCAATGCGCTACCTCCATGTCATTTCTAGAAAACGACTCTCCGCGTCCAGGATCTCCAAAGGGTCGTGCGCTTTGGGCAAAAACAGAAAGTTTTTCATTTCTCATACCTCCTCATGATTGCGCTGAGGACGATTGAAAACCGTCTCCACATCTTTTAAATACATTCCGCAGAAAGTAAGCGACTCATATTGAACCCAAGCCTCTACGATTGATCCTTCGGGCTTCGCCCTGTTGCGTACACTTTTTTTTCAGCTCTCCGAGAAGCCTGCCAAAATAAAACGATATGATACAAATTAGCAAGCATGTGATAATGATGCATACACAACGATAAGGATTATATACCTTTCTATTGGATACATCCAGCGATAGTTGACAGGACCAGCAAGCAATGCCTCTTCTGGCAAGTGAACCATCACGTGCATCATACTTGTGAAGAAAGCTGGAGGAAATATCATCTCAAACTTGCATAGGACTTGGACAATGTCATGGCGCAACTGAAACAGTCCGTTTTTCGCAAAATTTTTGCCGTCAGTTTGGAAAAAAATGTGGGCAACACATCTTTCGGCAATAGGTGTCGATAACCACGGAAGTAGCGTTGCATAAACACATGGGGAAAAAAAAAAAAAAAAAAAAAAAAAAAAAAAAAAAAAAAAAAAAAAAAAAAAAAAAAAAAAAAAAAAAAAAAAAAAAAAAAAAAAAAAAAAAAAAAAAAAAAAAAAAAAAAAAAAAAAAAAAAAAAAAAAAAAAAAAAAAAAAAAAAAAAAAAAAAAAAAAAAAAAAAAAAAAAAAAAAAAAAAAAAAAAAAAAAAAAAAAAAAAAAAAAAAAAAAAAAAAAAAAAAAAAAAAAAAAAAAAAAAAAAAAAAAAAAAAAAAAAAAAAAAAAAAAAAAAAAAAAAAAAAAAAAAAAAAAAAAAAAAAAAAAAAAAAAAAAAAAAAAAAAAAAAAAAAAAAAAAAAAAAAAAAAAAAAAAAAAAAAAAAAAAAAAAAAAAAAAAAAAAAAAAAGCGGAGAGACACGGAACAAATAGGCAGTACACAGAGAAGGAAAAAGGACGTCGGGACGTAGAAAAACATCAGGGAAGGGATGAGGGAACTGCCCAGGGGACGGAAGGAAGAACGGGAGAAGCACACAAGAGAAGACGGTGCACGCGCGGGGAGTACTGTGAAAATAATGATTCTTGCCTATGGGAACTTATCTAGTTGTGTTGTATGAAACACCAGTCACAGGTTGAAAAAGGGCCATAAAATTGGGTACATGGGCAAGAAAAGGGTACCAACATATCATCCATATTGGAGGCAGCGTGCAGCTTTTAATGGGAAACCTGAATATGGCACGCCTCCCGAGCCATTAACCGGAGAAGAAGTGTCGTAGATGGTTGAAGATATTAATTACATATGGGGCACGAAAAATGGGGGGAGTATTGGTGAGAATGATGGTGACAAAGTTTGTTGGAAGAAGAAATCAAAATTCTTTGATCTCGAGTATTGGAAATACCTTCCTGTGAAGCATGTCATAGATGTTATGCATATTGAGAAGAATATTTGCGATAGTATCATTGGTACATTGCTGGAGATCCCTGGAAAAAATAAAGATGGGATTGCTGTTCGATTAGATTTATTGAACAAGGGAGTCAAAACTGATTTGCAACCCGAGTATGGAGAAAGACGTACTTGCTTGCCTCCAAGGCCTTGGAATTTGTCAAGAGCAGAGAAGAGAGCGGTTTGCAATTCTTTCTATAGTATAAAGTTCCCTGAAGATTATTCTTCGAATATAAAAAATCTTGTATCTTTAAAGGATTCAAGACTTCTTAGCCTTAAATCTCATGATTGTCATACCTTGGTGCAACAATTGCTCCCTGAGGCAATTCGTTCTGTTTTGAAGCAGCCTGCAAGGTATGCAATAACTCGATTGTGCTTCTTCTTCAATGCTATATGTGCAAAGATGATAGATGTTTCCAAGCTAGATAAGTTGGAAGAAGATGTAATAGTTACTTTGTGTTTGCTTGAGAAGTAATTTCCCCCTTCATTCTTTGATATCATGGTTCATCTAGTAGTACATATTTTCAGAAAAGTTTGTCTATGTGGGCCAGTATATTTTAGATGGATGTATCCATTTGAAAGATATATGAAAGTGCTAAAGGGGTATGTTCAGAACCATACTAGTCCCGAATGTTGCATTGCTGAGCAGTATATAGCTGAAGAAGCTGTAGAGTTTTGCACCGAGTATTTATCTAATGTTAGGACAGTTGGAGTGCCATCAAGCCACAACTTAGTTGATCGGGACTTGTTGAACCAGGCACATCTATTTGTCTTGGAGAATACGGATGAAGTCCTACTCATATCGAGTATGTATGAGTTTTATTTTTCATATGTAGCCATTTTAAATATTATTATTCCTTATGTTTATCTTATATACAAGGAACCTTAATACTTGATTTTTTTCGTGTCAATGTAGGGAACATATGATCCACATCAAGACCACTTATCCAAAATTTAGAAAGAGAACAAAGGGGCTGCAAGATAAGCATAATATATTAGATTGAATTAAGATATATGATTAATTTGTAGGTTCGAAGTGAACTTAATGGGGAAGAGAATAATGGCGTATCAGAAAATTTGAGGTGGCTTGCAGCTGGTCCAAGCATGGCAGTGCCATCATATTGGAGCTATCTTATTAATGATGTTAAATTTAACACTAAGGCACAAGATGGTGTACGAACTGTCCAAAATAGTGGAGTTTATTTACTTGCACATACTATGCAAGTTGCTAGTGCCAAGGATAAAAACACTATTGTCTCCAAATATGGGTTTTTATGGTGTTATTCAAGAAATTTGGGACCTTGACTACCAAAAGTTTAGAATCCGAGTCTTGAGGTGTGATTGGATAGATTACACTTCGGGCCTTGTAGTGGACGAACTTGGATTTACCCTTGTAGATCTGAGTAAAATTGGACATAGGAATGACCAAATTGTTATGGCTTCTCAAGTCAAACAAGTATTTTATGTTGATGACGTAATGCATAGTGGTTGGTCGGTAGTGTTATCAATGCCTAATGGAGAATATAATGATGTTATTGGTGATGATGTGCTAGGTGATATTAGAATTGAGTGTGAGGCATTTACTAGAGGGATACCAAATGTTGACACATTTGATGACATAATGGGTGAGTTTGGGAGTGAAAATATAAGAGATGGGTGTGAAGATATATGAATTGATTGATTGTTGTAATGTATGACATTAGTTATGCATTAATTGTATGAATAAAAACAGATGTCTAAAGCATAACCAATGTCGTATATCTACAAACGACGTGGAATTATAATGCAAAAGACCGTAAAGAAATAAAAACCATAGTTTGAAAAAGAAAACACATCGGTAAATTAAAATTAAACGGCCAAACGATATTACCAACAATGACGGTCACAAAAAAATGACGATGTAGATTTTAAATTAACACGACGGGATAGTGCTCCAACTGACGAATTTTAGGAAACACCACTTCCACCATTTAATAAATACCTTTGTCTAAAGCGAGAAATAAAGGCAACTTAGTTCCATTAACTGTCGTGACAGCCATTCTGCACGTCGGTTTGGATTAAAAAAATGACATTTCAGAGAATACACAAGTCAAACAGGTTTACATAAGCGACTTCTAAAATGTCAACCACATCAATACTTATTAAAAAATCGACATGGTAAGTGATCAGTAACGTCGACAAATTATAAGTTCAAGACATAGTAATGGACTTAACCACGACTGCTATTTTAAATTGACAGACGTTCAAGCGATAATCCACGATGTTTCTTTCCTTGTTCACGCCATCAAAACAATTGTAAACGTCCGTGGATAAATAGGGAGTCGTGGTTAGGAATTTTTACGTCGGTTTTCAATAGAGGTGTGCCATGTTAAATCATTCAGACGTCAGTATTTAAAATATTTGACATGTAATATGCTTTAGACGTCTCTTCTTTTACGTAAATGTTGTCTAAGTTTGTCGAAGTTTTCTTTTTTATTGGTTTTTGTATATTTTACATGACAATTTTTATATATGTAAACGTAGTATATATTAACCACGACGGTTTCTACGTTATACACGGCGGTATTCCTTCAATTGTGGACGTGGATAAACTTTTTTACGTCAGATTTTATGTATTTCTTGACATCTAACATTGTTTAGACGTCTTTGTTTTCCTGAATTTGTCGAAGTTTTCCTTTTATGCTATTTATATATCAATTAGACGTCATTTTTTTGTTATTTTATGACGCGGAATGTCATAATGACGTCGGTTATTTGCCGTCGTTGTTTTATGTATTAAAAGATGGTGGTCTATTTCACGATGGGTTGAAATCCTACTAGGCAAAGGTGGATTCCCGTCGTCTATTTCAATTTTTATAGTAGTGTAAAGAAAAACTTTATGTGGACCTAAATAGATGAATGCCTAACAATCTACATGATACATTTGCATGTAAATATGGGTATAGGAGCTTTGTAGCTCTAGTTACAGCTGTAAATATTGATGTCACGTATTAGACATCATGAAAAATGTACCCCTTGCGATGCGGACATCCCTCTTTATGGGTAATCTGTAAAAATAAAAAAAAAGAGCTAAAATTCCTTCTGTAAGTCCTCAAAGAGACCTTGGTATGCCTTGACCTTAGGATGGGTAGCCTCCCCTTCCCCTAAACTATTTTTCATAATATATATATATATATATATACCCCATTTAATTTTGAAGTACATGTGAGATGAGGGATGGTTTGTTTTAGACAATGTTCTAAACTATTACTCTAACGTCGACTGTTTAGGAATTTTTTAAAAAAATTTGCGTGTAATCTTTTATTGAATATGTAATTTGATAGCATTAATTATTTTGAATTTGCTATACTCCAATTTTTCAAGATATTTGTTTGTCTTTATAATGCAAGGAAGAAGATAAATTATTCTATTAATTATGTCCCCCTTCAATTGCATGCCTTGCTAATACACTTGCCACACGCGTCTTAACTAACCACGGGCCCAATCTGCATCACAATAGGCTTGAAAGAGAGTATTTCCTTCTGTAAAAAGAAGACCATGATTGAGTGTGACTTTCAAATAGCGAAGAAGTCGTTTTGCTGCGAGGAAATGAGGGACTCGGGGAGTGTGCATGAACTGACAGCATTGATGATTAACAACATATGAGATATCAGGGTGAGTCCAAGTAATATACTGCTAGGTTCCAACTAAAGATCTGTATTGAGAAGAATCACTTAGAAGGTGGCCTGTATCCAATTTGCAGATCCAAAGGGGGTATTGCAGGGCTTAGCACCAGTCATATAAAACTTCAGAAGAACATCCACCATACTTTGATGACAACAACTATGGCGCTTGGAAGGTTAAAATGAAGTCGTTTCTTTGGTCCTTAGATGAACGTGTATGGTATATAGTGGTTCATGGATTTTCTGAACCCACAAAGAAGATTGGAAAAGGAGATGAAGAAACTACAGTCCTCAAAACTAGAGAGGAGTGGACCACTGCAGAAGCCACACACAGTACTCATAATCAAAAGGGGTTAAATGCTATATATACTGTTGTCTCTTCCAATTAGTTTGAATATATATCTAGTTGTGATACTTCTAAAGAAGCTTGGGATATTTTGCAGGTCACTCATGAGGGAACATATACTGTCAAGGGAGCCAAGCTTCAAATGCACACTTTACAGTTTGAGATAATCATGATGGATGAGAATGAAACTTTTTCTGAATTTTATGCTAAACTTTGTATCATTATGAATGCATGTTCAAGTTTATGTGAAAAAATTCCAGAAGATAGGGTGGTGAAAAATATTTTAAAGTCCTTGCCTCAACGTTTTCAACCAAAGATCACAGCCATTGAAGAGATTCGTGACCTGAACACCTTGAAAGTTCGTGAACTCATTGGATCGCTTCAAACCTACGAGATGAAGCTTTAGCTCCTAAAAAGAATAAAAGTGTTGCTCTCGAAGTGGTTGACAAAGAAGATGGTGAAAACCAATCAGAAGAATTCAATGGAGAGGAATTTGCTAATCTTTCACAACAATTCAAGAAATTTTTCAAAAGTCAAAATTCCAGAAGTCATGACTCAAGAAATCACTCAGGTATAATTCAAAAATTAAGCATGGTGATTATACTGATGGTAATTTAAAATCTCGCAGGTTCACTGAGAAGAAAAATAATAAAAAGAGAGAGTCAAGTGCTATGAATGCGAAGGATATGGACGGTGATTATACTGATGGTAATTTAAAATCTCGCAGGTTCACTGAGAAGAAAAACACTAAAAAGAGAGCGTCAAGTGCTATGAATGCGAAGGATATGGACATATTGCCTCTAAATGTGCCAACACACAAAAGAAGCAAAATGGAAAAACCAAAGCACTGAATGTAACCTGGAGTGACAGTGATTCAGAATCAGAAAGTGAAGAAAATACCATTGCTTTAATCACCACTGTTACCTTGGATTAGGCACAACAAAATATGATGTGCTGGAAAAGTATGATGATTTGTTGACTGTCTCTCAGAAGCTCAACAAACATAATAGAGAACTTGCAAAAAGAGTTGCTGTGCTGGAGCTCGAAAATAGTAGGACTGCCAGGACGTTGCAATCCTCTGCTGCTGAACCAGATATAATGGGTGAAGGTATGTACGAAATTGGAAACATTACAGAAAAAGTGCATTGATCAAAATAAATTAATTGTTTCTTTGACCTCTCACAACCAAGCCCTTGAAATTGAGCTTAAAAGTTCAAAGGAGAGGATTATTGCTTTGACAATTGGTGCAGAAAAGATCGAAGAGAAACGTGGCCTAGGTTTTGATTCAATCAACAAGTCTTCCGCTATATCCATAACAAAGTTTGTCAAACCATCACTTCCTACTGGTGCTCCAACTTCTCAAACAACTTGAAGATTCATACCACGTGTCACTATTGTGGAGTTCTTGGGCACATTCGACCAAAATGCGAACTTCTTCAACAAATTTCGGTAAGTCAAAAATCCACCAAGGAGGGACATGTAAGAATTCAACACAAGATTGCATATCTTGTAAAAGAGGTAAACATGTTGTCAAAACACTCTCATTCCTTATATTTACCAAGTTCAAATCTATTGTGGAGGAGAAAGGAAAATCAAAATGCTTGCTGGCACTTTCAAGTGATGCATATCAAACTAATGCTCCTGAAATCTTATATGTGAAATGTTATGTTGCTCTTACTGCTCTTTCTAACTCTAAATCTAAATTGTGGTAATAATGTGTGTTCAAGACACATGACCGGTGACAAATCATGTTTTTCAGAAATCTCTACAGAATGTGTGAGGAATGGTCACTTTTGTTGAGATGGAAGAAAATCCAAGATTTTAGGCAAAGGAAAGATTATGGCAACTGTTACACCTAGCTTGGACAATGTCTTACTAGTTGAAACTCTTCAAGCACATCTCATCATTGTAAGTCAACTTTGTGATGAAATAGGTGAGGTAAGTTTTACTAAAACCCAATGTATTATCAATAATAAAGATGGATCAAATGTGATGATTGGAAAAAGATCACCTGACAATTGCTATTATTTTTTCACTAATGAAATTTCTCAAGTTTGTTTTAGGACAAGTGAAAACCATCTTGATTTATGGTCAACGTTTGGGAAACATGAACTATCAAGACTTATTTAAATTGTCCAAACGTAAATTTGTAAGAGGATTGGATAATCTTTCAGGTAAACGTGAGGGTGTTTTTGAAGGGTGCCAACTAGGGAAGCAAACCAAAAACCCTCACAAAGCTACAAACTCGATCTCTACTTCTAAAACTTCGGAACTGATGCACATGGATTTAGTTGGTCTAATTCAGGCTCTTAGCTTAGGGGGAAAGAAATATATTCTTGTCTTAGTGGATGATTTCTCACGTTTTACTTGGGTCAATTTTTTGCATGATAAGACAGAAGCCTTTAATTCCTTTTATGTCTTATACAAGCTAATCATGAATTAAAAACATGGAATTAATTCTTGCATCACAAGACTTAGGACAAATCATGGAATGGAATTTGGAAATCAAGCATTCTCTGATTTCTATTCTGAAAAAGGAATAAAGCATGAATTTATGCTCCAATCACTCCTCAACAAAATGGGGTTGCTGAAAGGAAAAATAGAATCCTTCTTGACATGGCTCGTGTCTTGTTATAGAGTGCCAAATTTGCAGATCATTTTTGGGCTAAAGCCATTAGTACTGCATGCTATACATCTAACCGTGTGTTTTTCAGGCCACATACCAAGAGCACTCCCTATGAAATTTGGAAAGGGAAGAAACCAAATGTCAAGCACTTAAGGACTTTTGGTAGTAAATGCTACATCTACAAAGACAGGGAGTATCTTGGAAAATTTGATGCAAGAAGTGATGTTGGAATATTTCTCGATTATTCTATGAATAGTAGAGCATATAGGGTGTTTAATAGTCATACTAAAACTATCTAATGTGATTGTAAATGACTCCTTTATATTGCAAGTTGAAACAAGTCATGAAGATACAGATCTGGAAACTCACGAACCTGCTGCTGTTACTGAGACTGATTTCGAGGATTATAATCAGCCTTTCAATCCTGTGATACGCAGACCTGGTGCTAAACAAGTTCAGAAAGATCACTCACCTTCTGACATTATTGGGAATGTTGAAGACAAATTGAGAACTCGACAACAAGTTTGTGATGAGGTAACCAATTTATGTTATGTATCCTTAGTTGAACCTAAGAGTGTGATTGATGCTCTTGCAGATAATGAGTGGATATTGGCTATGCAAAAGGAGTTAAATCAATTCAGAAGAAATGATGTGTGGTATCTTGTCCAAAGTCCCAAATACTTAAATGTAATTGGTACCAAGTGGATCTTTTGAAATAAGACTGATGAGAAAGGGAAAATTATGTGCAACAAAGCTAGACTTGCTGCCCAAGGTTATACTCAAATTGAATGTTTGGATTTTGATGAGACTTTTGCTTTGGTTGCGCGTTTAGAATCTGTTCGATTGTTGTTGTCCATTGCATGCCATTTTTGGTTCAAGCTACATCAAATGGATGTTAAGAGTGCGTTCCTAAATGGTGTTTTACAAGAGGAAGTCTATGTAAACCAACCTGCAATATTTCAAGATCCTATCCATCCTAATCATGTATATCGTCTGAAAAAGGCTCTCTATGGACTCAAACAAGCCTCGAGAACATGGTATGATCGACTGTCCACTCATCTTCTTCAAAAAGGGTACACTCGTGGTAGCATTGAAAAAAAACCCTATTTATCAAAAGAACCAAATGAGATTGTTTTTGGATCTACTTCTTACACTTTTGTCAAAGAATTCCATGAGGTCCAACAATTCAATGGAGGAATGTTCATCTCTCAAACAAAGTATGCCAAAAACCTTGTGTCTAAATTTGGTCTGGAATCTACCAAGCCTATTCGAAATCTTATGAGCACAAGCACCAAACTTTCCAAGGATTCACATGGCAAAAGTGTAGACCAAAAATTATACAGAAGCATGATTGGCAGTTTGTTATATTTGACTGCTACCAGACATCTCTTTCAGTGTTGGACTTTGTGCTCGCTTCCAATCCGATCCCAAAGAATCACATCTACTGGTTGTGAAGAGAATTCTTCGCTATGTAAGTGGTACTACAAACTTTGGTGTATACTACTCATTTGACTCAAGTGTTGAACTTGCAAGTTATTCTGATGCAGATTGGGCAGGAAACATTGATGACAAGAAAAGCACAACTGGAGGATGCTTTAACATAGGCAACAACCTTGTCTCCTAGTTTAGCAAGAAGCAACTGCTGAAGCCAAGTATATAACCGCTGGAAGGTGTTGCACACAGTTGTTTTAGATGAAACAAATGCCAAATTTGGCAAGGGATAACATTTTGTGATAACATGAGTGCAATTAATATCTCTAAAAATCCAGTTCAACACTCTCGCACAAAACACATTGATATTCATCACCATTTTATTCAAGAATTAGTGGAAGATAATGTGCTCTCACTTGAATTTATCTCTACTGAAAAACAATTAGCTGATATTTTTACCAAACCTCTAGACAATCTAAGGTTTGAAACCCTTAGAAAGTCTTTAGGCATCCGTGCTCTAGATTAATTCAGTGTCTAATACATACCAAAGCCTCTTACATTTTTTATGATATTTATATTACTTTCTGGTTCTATAAATTTGTCCAGCTCGTGCAAGGGTTGGTAAGTCGTATGAATCCTGTAACTGTATGAACATATTTGATGATCTTAGATTGGGCTTTGGCATTGCTTTATCTTGAGAATACAAATTAAAGGTTTCCATTGTCTTGGTGCATGATAAACTTCATTAAATGATCTATCCATCTAGTATATTTTTTTTTTTTCCATTTGCACACACTCTTTTCTTTGAAGTACCTTGAATATCTCCTTTCTTGTACTTGTCTCTCTTGGGATTGCCATCACACTATTGTACGTAAGCTGATTGATAAACAATATAAATAAAAAAAAAAAAAAAAAAAAAAAAAAAAAAAAAAGAAAGTAACTGATCATTGCCTAGTAACTGGGCCTCTTATCTACCAACGTCAAGGTTTGAGTCAACAGGCTGTGATGGTTTGCTATCCTTGCTTATCTTTGTAGCCTTCATAATTCGGATCAGTATTTCTCCAAGGGTGCCTCATCAGCCAGTTGCTTATGGTCATCTGACTTGAGCACACTGATTGACCATCCGCTACATGGATCATGTCAAAAGCTCAATAAAGTGAGCCATCAAGTGAGTAAACAAAAATAAAAATAAAATACATTCAAATCACAAATAAACTGATCATCTTATACTACTATGCACTAAGTGTATGTGCTATCTTAGGTGGGATCAGTCTTGGGTGAACATAGTCTTTGTGCTTTATTGAAAAGAGTTCACTTCACACCTTTGCTTCTTGATGGTAGACTCATTTGGTGCCTTTTATCTTTCACCATGACTGTGGTATGCCTCCTCTTTTATCTGTGAGTGTGTACGTCTCGTGTGGTGTAGTGTTTTTGTCCCTGCCATGCTTTACTTCACATGCGTTTTAGACAGCGATGGGTCTGCTGCTTCTTTCTCTCCTCACCCACAAGCTTGGTATGTTTATGAATGAAAATTAAGTATATCTTCAAGTGAGTTTTGGTATGCATTTACAGTTTGTTTTATGTATTGATTGTTTTTTTTTCTGTTTTTCCTTTCGTGTTATTTTATTTGTTGTTTTTACTAGTTCTATTTCGTTTTTTTCCTAAAAAAAAAAAAAAAAAAAAAAAAAAAACAATGCAATTCACGCTGGTTGTTTAAGTTGTGCAATCTAGGGTTGTCTTCTTCATCAGTCCAATTCGATCTCCAGCCCAGAGGTTCTCGTCTTCCCCTACTCACTGCGTCTTATCTCCGTCATGTCACGATGGTCACCACACGAAGCCTTCGGCCTTCCTTCTCCGCTGCCCCTGACCACAGTCCATCTCGCTCATTGTACTTCTGGTGGTTTCTCCATCGAGCAACAGGCCCTTTTGGATTCACTCATTGTACTTCTGGTGGTTCCTCCTCCGCTGCCCCTGACGCATGTGCTTCTTTGCCGCATCTGGGATCATTTTGATACCTATGGTGAGTTGTTGCTAACACTGGCAGGGCACATTCAGCCACCTGATCCTTCTTGTCCTACTCGAGCTCGCAGCCTCTAAGGTCATATGTTTTGCTTATGGATTTGTTCATCTTTTGTAGCTAGTATTGTGTTCCTTTGAATTTCCTAAACCAAAAAGGAGAGAATATTTTGTGTTACATATGAGATATAGGGGAAGTAACTTGACTGTCGAGAGTAGAAACATGAAATTTAGGGGGAGATAAGTTTTTGTTTTGTCTATGGGATAAGAACTTATAGTAAATTACTTAACCTCCTAACATATGAAGGATTGATGTTTAATTGTGTCAAGTTCTGTTTCTTATTGTTTCAATTTGATTATGCCTTACTGGTAGTTTGATTGTTGATGTGCAGAAGTTACAAGAACTAGATATTTGTTCGGCAAAGTAAATTAGGTTGCGTAGGTTCTTGTAAATTTGTCTGCAATGTAATCTAGTGTTTTGTCTAGGAAATGCCAAAAGGGGAGATTGTTAGTACGAAAATTGTATTGCCCTTTCCTAGACTCTAGCTTAGGTAGGGAATTAATATGTGAAGGATTGTTTACTGGACGTTTTGGCACAACCCATTAAATCCCATACTTTCGAGGCATGACTTGACAGATATGAAAAACTTGATTTCAGGTAAATCATGACATAATCATGCATTCACATTAGGATTCCTAGTTGAAGTTATTTTCAATGTCATTCTAAATTAAGTTAAAATATTAGCGTTTTCTATAGTGACGTGCACCATGCTTATCTCCTAATTAACTCGTTTTAGGATATATTTTTTTATTCATAAAAATGGTTGTTTGGTGTCATCACTAAGAGTCCACATTGAATCAAAACTAATATTTATAACTGAAAGGTATATTTTGTCTTCTGATTTGGCGTCTTGACTAAGAGACCATATTGGACTAGGTTTGAGAGTTATAGTTGATTTGAATTAGTGGTCTCTTGGGTTTCTCTCTTTCTAGACAAAATCTGCCTTGAATAAAATTGGCGTCTTTTTCTTTCAAAACACACAGCATTCAACGTGTTGAATTTGTTGAGCATATTGAAATTTTTCTTTGAGAAAGCTGCTGTGCATAGTGTTTAGATAAGTCATCAAGTGTTCCTTGTTTGCTTGGTGATTTATCAAATCCTTTCACCATTCATATTGCATACATATGCATGTCGGTGACTCATACGATTGAGGGCACCAAGACTATTGTGGCATTTATCCTCCGGCGAGCTTGAAGCAATCGTGACCAGTATTGCGTTCAACATATGGAGTGTCGAAGATCATCCCACGACAGAAGCTAAGTTACGAAGAAGTCGGTAAACTTTTATCTAGATTATGTCTAGGATAAGTGTGTGAGTACTTCTTGTAATCTTCATTCTATAGTGGATTTGGTTTGGATTAAGGAATCCCGTGGATTTTCCCCAGAGGTGGGGTTTTACCACGTAAAATAAATATATGTGTGTTCTTTTACTTTAAGCTCTGCACATTTCAGGATTGATAAGCCATATCAATCCTGTTTCGAAAATCTATTTTTATTTATTGTTAATAATCTCAAATTTGCCCATGCACCCCTTTCTAGGCATTTTTAGTCATCCTACAGGTAATTTCAATGCACATACTTGATTTGAGAGAGAAATAAACCTTGCGAGGATCTGTGAACTTTTAACCCCAAAAAATAATGCAATGGACCTAGATCCTTAACTGGAAAGAGATGACTGAGCTAGGTAATCCAAATAGAACATGCGGCAGAGGAATTCCCAGTGCCTCACGGCTCTTTTTTTCTCTCTCCCCTAAACTACTTTGAAGAATTGATGAAAGCATAAGTAGCATGGTGAAAGTGACATCGATGCTATGAGAATGTCACATCTCGGATTGGCTCCGCCATAGCATAATATTGTCTGTTTTGGGCCCCCGCCCTCACGATTTTGTTTTCGAGAACTTAAGAGCAACTTCCCAGTAGGTCACCCATCCTGTGATTGTTCTAGCCCAAACTCGCTTAACTTCGGAGTTCCCATGGAATCAGAAGCCAGTGAGCTCCCAAAAAGCCTTGTGCTAGATGGAGGTGGGCATATACATATAAGACACATCATCCCCTTCTCTCCATTGGTCGATGTGGGATGTTACAATCCACCCACCTTAGGAGCTCGACATCCTCGTTGGCACACTCGCACCACATGGCAGAGTGACTCTGATACCATTCTGTCACATCCTAGATCGGCTCCACTGTAGCACGATATTGTCAGCTTTGTGCTCCCACCCTCATGGTTTTGTTTCTGGGAACTGACCAGAAACTTCCCAGTGGGTCACCCATCCTGGGATTACTATAGCCTAAACTCACTTAACTTCAGAGTTCCCATGGAATCCGAAGCCAGTGAGCACCCAAAAGGCCTCGTGCTAGATGGAGATAGACATGTACATATCAGGCACATCACCCCCTCTCTCCGTTGGTCGAGTAAAACAACTTTTTCAATCTATACAAAAGCCAAAGATGCAAATTTATAACATAAAAGAAAACAAAAGCTACAGATACAAATTTGAAAATTCACTCACACTCACAATTTTGTTAGTTAAACAGGTTTCAACATCCCACAATATTGACAAATATCCCAGATTTTCATTTCTTTCTGTGAATGGTGCTTTGCATACACCTTACTTGCTACTCAACAAAATTCTGAATGTCTTCCTCACATCTAGCACTCTTGGGGTATGAACCACATCGAAATGGACCCCACCAGCTTCAGCATCATCTGCAAAAGTTCTAATGTTATGCAGTATTGCAAAGTTATAACTGAAATTGAGCAAAGGAGAGAAGAAAGAAAAGAGGAAGAAGATGAAAAATAATAAAGAAAGAGAGAAAGACGAGGAAAAATAATATTAAAAAATAGAGAGGAAACAAACGGAAAGAAAGAGAGAGAAGAGGAAATATAATTAAAAAGAAGAAGAGAATGGTGAGATATTAAATAAATGGCAATTGGTGCAGATCTAATGGTCAAAACACAAATCCGTAATTGATTCGCATACTTCAACTCCGTAATGGAGACGGACCCCCTTTAATATATACTTTAGTGGCTAAAAAGAAAAAAGCTATAAAAATAATTATGTGTTTGGATGAGGAAATTTTAAAAGTACTAAGGCCTAGTTTGGGATTGCTATCACTTTTGATAGTAGTGGTGGTGGTGATGGTGGTGATAGTGGTGGTGGTGGTGGTGGAGGTAGAGGTGGAGGTGGAGGTGGAGGTGGAGGTGAAGGTGGTGGTTGTGGCGGTGGTTGTGGAGGTAGTGAATGTGGTAGTGCAAATGGTGGAGTTGGATGTGGAAGTGGAGGTGGTGTCATTTTTTAAAATGAATGATGGTATTTTGGGAATTAAAAAAATTCCTTAAATGTTCATCTCTGCTTCTTTTGAAAGCAGCTTTGAAAAGCAACCAAGAGCCTGCTTTTAAAAGCTGTTGTCAAAAGGCCACTGCTTTTAAAATAATCAGGATATTTTATTTTTACCAAACACCTAAAATTGCTTAACTTTAAAGTGAAACAGATTTTTGGCCAAAAAAAGCAAATCCCAAACGGGGCCTAAGGCATTCATAAATGATGAAATTTAAAATGATGTAAATTAAGAACGATGTGTTTGAATAAGGAAATACTTGGGCTGAACAACACTCGGCATATATATATATATATATATAGATATTAACATACTAGGCTTAAATGTTAAAATAGTCCCAATGTTTTATCATGTTCGCCAATTTAATCCCTGTGTTTTTAATTTGACCAATTTAATCCCTGTGTTTAGGACAGTTAACCAATGTGATCCAATCCGTTAAATTTATGTTAAATTTTTTTTGAAACTGTTTAAATATTAATAATAAAAAAATAGATATATTTGAATTCAATTTAAAAATAGATAATTAAAGATCTAAACTTTGAATTCAACATAGCATACCACCATCCAATCTAGCCCCCACCCCCACCCCCACCACCCTTCTCTCTTCTCTCTTTCTCCCAGCAACAACCCATCCAGTTACTTTCCACAGCCAGACCGAAAGGCCCCAACTCCCCTACACACACCCACCTCTTGAACACGAATCCTCCCCACCCCTAAGTTCTCTCTCTCTCTCTCTCTCTCTCTCTCTCTCTCTCTCTCTCAAATAACCCCTGCCGCCCGACCATGTCCCAGCAAGATCTTCCCCAACCCCACCATTCTCTGGCCATTTGTCCCATCCCCGTTGCCCAGATCCTCTACCCCACTCTGGTTTGTCGCATCCCTCCCCCCCCCCCCCCCCCCCCCCAACCCCCCCCCTCACCCACCCCATCGCTAAGCAGCCTCTCCCCCCTCCTTTATTATGCCCATCCTGTTTTTTTTTCTTTTTCCTAATGTTATTTTTGGTTTTAATGAAGTTTCAATATATTTTAAAATTAATTAAAATTTTAAAATCAATTTTAAATAAGTTTATAGGTTTTCAACGTAAAATGAAAAAGAAAAAAGAAAAAAAATCATTTATGTTTATTTAACGTCAATTTTAATGGAATTGACCACATTGGCTAATGGTCCTAAACAAGGGGACTAAATTGGCCAAATTGAAAATATAGGGATTAAATTGACCAACGTGATAAAACACAAGGACTATTTTAGTATTTGAGCCAAAATACTAATGGGAAGTAGAAGAAGAAGAAATACATAAATATCAGAGAATTATTCAGCGGATATCATTTGCATCTTTAGAATGTACAATGTTGGCACACACTCGAACTTTGATGTAACATGTTTTGTAGAATTTTGCCACAAAACATTCATGGTTGTGGCAAAATCCTTTTACATTAGCGTGCATGGAGGAGAGAGGTCGTCCGTTGTCCTGCATGTGATCAAAAGTTTTATGTAATCAATTAGCTAGACTACGTACCCTAGTTAATATTTGTTTTAGAAAATTTGGTATAAGCCCTAAACCCTAAATAGTGTTCACAAATGGGGTGGATTCCTCATTTTATTATTTTTCTGGTAACAAAATATCATTTCTGGTAGATGGCATTTGAGAAAGAGAAAGGATATTTATCTTGTTTTATTCGCTGGGTTTAGCTGGAGAGAGAGGGCGGGGAAGGAAGAAAGCAGGGGCAATGGATGCCTTAATTGTGTGACAGGGCAAAACGGTAAAATAAGGAGTTTAGTGGTGTTTAAATTTTCTTAGACTTCTTCAACCACGTGTAGTGCTGTAAACGGGGCGAGTCTAGCTTCAGTCGCTTAAAGTGACGGCAGCATTCCCCTTCTGTAGCGACCGTGGCTAGTGTTCCATGGCTAGCAAATTTGCCAATACCAACACAGCGCCCAACAAAGAACTGAAAGCAACGAGACCTGGGGAATAGATCGATCACTATTGATTTCTATTCATGCTTGCTTTATAGAATTACAGTTTGACTATTGATACAACTCATATGGTGATATTAGTCCTAGAAGGTAACAAGATAACAAAGATTACAAGAGATGGATATAATTCCTTAAATCACGTATGATCATTAGAGTGATATGCTTGGAGGCATCATTAGTGCTGTACTCTTCAGAACACGCCCGGGGACAAAATCATGGGATAAGGAGGCAGGAACATTCCTATGGCTATCGATCGAAGGAAAACCACCCCACGGTCCCCACACCATCCTCTCTCTCTCTCTCTCTCTCTCTCATGATGAAGATGAGCCACGGAGCATCAAAAGAGCTTTTGAGAGGAAAAAGATCTGGGACAATCCAAAAGCCTCCAAGGCGGGAACAAAAAATATAAAAAACTATATTTTTCATATACATATACACATAAAAAAAAAAAAATCGCCAAGCACAGAACTTTCATCATCACACTCATTACTCTATTGGCCCCACCGTTGCTCGGTCCAAACTCGAAAATTTAGGATTTTGTCAGCCTAGCCCAGTGCAATGATGAACCTATCAGTTATAAGATGAGTCTCCAAATGAACCTGAACAACTACACAAGAAGATGAAAAGAAGAAGCCGTATTGATGCTGATACTACGCAGCCCCTAAGAACTACTGAAAATACTGATGCAAGCCTATCAGTTGAGGAGAATGTAATTGTCTCAGAACGAAGCACAGGAGTCGGGCTTTTCAACTTCATGAATGGGTTTAGACAGCGGGTTCGCATTTTTAGAAATGAATTTTATGCACGCGAAAGCAATAATGTTGGGGGTGGGAACTTTGGCAACAATTACTTCAACGGCGGGTTCACATTTCTTCTTGTTCCTATTGCATTTGTTCTGTTGTTGGGATTGGCATACTACCTAACAAGTACTGCAAGGTATTATTTCTTCTTGTTCTTCTTAACAATTTTAAAAAACTCAGCAAATTATGATACACACGCACACATATATATTGTTTAAATAAATTGAGCCAAACTGAATATTGGGGTTCTCAAACATAGATCCGAGAAATATTGTTTGATCTCAAGCTCAAATCAACGGTTTTAGAGCTATGCTCAAGCTCTGCTCAGATGATCTTTTCCAAATTTGAGCACGGCTTGGCGTATGTCGTTTGTGGAACGATCTCGATTGTATTTGTTTGGCTTGACTTGGTTCATTTTTAAAATTAGTAAAACTTGGCGTATGTTTTGTAATCTAAAAAACTTGGTCTTTGTTTTGCTTCTTCGTTTCTTTGACATGGTAGGAACTAGGAATTGAAATATAGAATATGTTGTAAAGCTCAGTATAGATACTGAACCTATCTGTGTAATTCATTCTGTACACTTTGAGAATCAGAACAATACATCTAGAAGTTTCCAATTATCTTTTCTTGCTTTCTCTGTTATCTTACATCTTCTTCTTCCTCATTAAAATCTCTATGGTTATCAATGGGATGGTCTCAATTCCAGATGCTTGATAAATTACACTCGCGAACAGTTGTGGTGTGTGCGAATTGCCACACGCTCTTGTGCTGGCCATTACTACATTTAATGCAATAGGGATTGCGTGAGGGTTTCCTAACGAACAAAACTCTATCTTAGGCAACTGCATATAAATATAAGTTTCCCTGCTCAACGGCGATCACATGACCTACGCTAAAGTATTCACCCCATCTAGAATGAGTGTGTGTGAGGGATCAGACTGAGGAGAAGAGCTCTTGTACCAATTCTTGTTTTCTCGACCATTCGCAGGGGAGACCAAAATATGTGTTCTATTATATGCAATCAGTATCATTTACAAAGCTTTGATTGCGTTGACGTGTATTCTCGTTTTTGTTTTGATTTTTAGTTTTCTGGTATGTTATTTTTTAGGACAACGTTCATGGGAGTGCTATGTAATGAATCTTCTTTAGTTTTGTTTGGTGGTTAAAAAACAAAAATAAAAACTAGATACTTGGTAATGGTGCTCGGAGTCGCTGAGTTTTTGGTTTGAAGTAATAATCTTTTTTTAATGCGAAGTTCAGATTTTGTATATTATTGAAAAGGAGCCATTTTACTGATGTTGTGCTTTATTAATAGTTCTACATGCTAATAACTTATTAAATATTATACTACTATTATAACATTTATGTATGATATCATCGTATACATATCATATCTCTGCTATCTTTATATTTCATTTTTGTTTCATAGCTGACTATTATTTCTACTTTCATTTTTGTTCCATACCTAAATAGCTGCTATTTTTTTATTAATTTTTTTAGGCTTATTTTTCAGGGAAATGTCTAGATTGACAATTATGATTAACTATGGTGGGAGGTGGGTTGATTCAAGGTATGAAAATTTCGAAGCTAAAGCAGTACTCGTTTCCAATACAATTACATTGAAGGAGCTTCAGAAACAAGTATATGACATTGTCAATGTGGACCCAAATGACTATGAGATAACTATAATAGCTATGTATGAAACAATGAAAGGAGCAGAGCCTGTAGAGATAGCCGATGAAGATGACGTGAGAGCTTTTATTGTTGAAAGTCATCGTTTAAGGCCTTACAAGATTCCATTATGCATTACATTGGAGGAGACCAACCTTGTGGGGTCTCCACAGGCTCCCTGATTATTCCCAGTTAAAACATTCGTGGGCTTAGCATCCAACGAACGTTCAATAACCTGAATTATCTCCTCTTCAGGATAAGTGGCCGAGTATGGGTTGTAGTGCTTCTCACAACAACTCTTGTGCTGTCCAAAGACTATAGTTGTTCTCATAGGCGGTTTTCTTTGACATTTTTGGGAACCGTTGGTGTGTGCTCCCTCAAAATTTGATTTGCTTTTTCTTATTTCGCTTTTTGACTCATTGTTAGCTAATTAATCCCTATGCATTCTCTATGTTGTCTTGGTGTGTTTCTTGTGTTTCTGACCCTTGGTGTACCGAACAACTCTTGCGCTGGACAAGGGACTATGATTGTTCTCATAGAAGGCTTTCTTTGACAGTTCGGGATACCTTGGTGTGCTCTCATTTTGGGGTCTGCTATGTTGGTCTTCTAGTAGTATGGTTGTTTTGTTTTGGTTATTTGTAATGGTTTGGTGGTTCTCAATTGGACTCTCCTGTTAGTCCATAGCATGTTTGAAACTCTTTTCTGAAATTGGTACTTAGGTGACAAGGGGTAAATTTAAAAGATATTCAACCAAGAACGCAGCAAACTTCACACACTCTAAACCTTGACCAAATACTCTTATGACTAGTCAACTGTCAGATATGAATTATACCAAACAATAACACACATAGAGCATACCAAGATGTACTTGCAAGCCTAGAGAATTACTAGTGACAAACTAGGCACTCAGAAGGACCCATCAATCTAGGCATCCATTGTGTTAGCAAACAACTATGGTGAAAGTGTGTGAAGACAACATAATCAAGCAAACACCAAACAACAGAAAAAGATGACTAGTCAACCGCACAAACCCAGATGACTAGTCAACTATCAAGAACACAAACCCAGAAAATTTACAGAGATGGAAACCAGAAACTGTTCACCCAAAAACCCACCATTGGGAAAAACTGGGGGTCATCAACCGACCAGGCAATCCACTAAGTAGAAAAAGATTCTTACAAAGGAACACAAGCAAGCTCAAGAAAAACCTAGATCTATTTAGGAAGATGAGCTATACCTCCTTTGTGCAATCTTCTTCTCCAACTTAGCAAAGCTTGAAGCTCAGTTCTTCATGGCAATGGCAGCTCATTCTCCAGCGCATTCATCCCATGGCACCAACTTGCAAGCTCTAACTCAGACAGAAATGAAATTTGGATTCATGGAGAAAATGACCAATTTCTTCAAGAAACCATACTCTTGAAGAAATCAATCTTGAATCTGACCTAGATATATATGATAGAGTGTTTGATCTAGCAAGATGAAGTTTTCATATTTCAAATGCAGTTTTCAAAAAGAAACAATTTGGAAAACTCAAAGATGAAAAATATGAAGGTTACTCTTGAGGAAGAATAAGCGAAAGTTTGCTATGAAACTTTCCAAAACTTGTCCCCCAAAGTGACGGCTACCAAATGAGGAATGCATGCGTTTTTACACAAAAATTCCTAGGTTGGAATCGCACAAGGCAGCAGAGGATTTCGTAGAATAGGACAAAAAAGTGGGTAGGATCCAGCTAGAAACAGTGACCTGGAAAATCTTACTAATGCAAAGGTTGACTAATCATATGGAGAAAGGATGACTAGTCATAATCTTTAGGAATAGGTTAATGCAATGTGATGTAATGCAAAACATACCTTTGTCAAACACAATGTTGTCCATCATAATGTAGCCGGATAAGAACACACCTAGAGATGAAATTCTTAATATAAACTTGGAGCTTGAGAAATTACAATATGTGTTCTATTATATGCAATCAGTATCATTTACAAAGCTTTGATTGCGTTGACGTGTATTCTCGTTTTTGTTTTGATTTTTAGTTTTCTGGTATGTTATTTTTTAGGGACAACGTTCGTGGGAGTGCTATGTCATGAATCTTCTTTAGTTTTGTTTGGTGGTTAAAAAAACAAAACAAAAACTAGATACTTGGTAATGGTGCTCGGAGTCGCTGAGCTTTCTCTCTCTGCTCTCTGTTGCCATCTCTGCTAGTTTTTGGTTTGACGTAATAATCTTTTTTTAATGCAAACTTCAGATTTTTTATATTATTGAAAAGAAGCCATTTTACTGATGTTGTGCTTTATTAATAGTTCTACATGCTAATAACTTATTAAATACTATACTACTATTATAACATTTATGTATGATATCATCGTATACATATCATATCTCTGCTTATCTTTATATTTCATTTTTGTTTCATAGCTGACTAGTATTTCCACTTTCATTTTTGTTCCATACCTACATAGCTGCAATTTTTTTATTAATTTTTTTGGGCATATTTTTCAGTGAAATGTCTTGACAATTTTGATTAACTACGGTGGGAGGTGGGTTGATTCAAGGTACGAAAATTTCAAAGCTAAAGCAGTACTCATTTCCAATACAATTACATTGAAGGAGCTTCATAAGCAAGTATATGACATTGTCAATGTGGACCCAAATGACTATGAGATAACTATAATAGCTATGTATGAAACAATGAAAAGAGCATGGCCTGTAGAGATAGCCGATGATGATGATGTGAGAGCTTTTATTTTTGAAAGTCGTTTAAGGCCTTACAAGATTCCATTGTGCATTACATCGGAGGAGACTAGCCTTGAGAGGTCTTCACAGGCTCCCTGATTATTCCCAATTAAAACTTCATGGGCTTGGCATTCAACGAACATTCGATAACCTGAATTATCTGCTCTTCAGGTTAAGTGGCCGAGTATCGGTTGTAGTGATTCTCTCAACAACCCTTGCGCTGTCCAAAGACTATAGTTGTTCTCATAGGCGGTTTTCTTGGACAATTTTGGGAAACCATTGGAGTGTGCTCCCTTATTCATTCATTTTTTTTTTTTTTTTTTTTTTTTTTTTTTTTTTTTTGTTGGTTTTGGTTTTTTTTATTCTGTTGTTTTTGACTCTTTGCGAGCTGATTAATCCCTACGCCATACGAAGAACTATGATTGTCATCATATGAGGTTTTCTTTGACAAGTTATGGGAGGAGTTGGTGTGTTCTTATGGTGTTAATGTATGCATTTTGAGTTTTTCTTTTGGCTTCCCTTGACAATTTTGCAATAGGATTTTATTGTTTTTATTAAGCTCAAGTTTAGATTAAGAATAGCTTCTCTAGGTGTTCTTAACTAACAACTATCCTCTGGAGGTTCAAGCAAATTGACAAAGGTAAATTGTGTATTGCATAACATTGCATTAAATTGATTTCATAAAATGATGAATAGTCATCGATTTCTCGTATGACTAGCCATCCTTGCTCTGTAGGATTTCCAGCTAGATAACCAACTTTTTTGTCCTATTCTCCTTTCTCTCTCTGCTGCCATGTTTCATTCTGACCTAGGGAATTTTTGGGTGAAAAGGCTAAAGGATTCCTAATTTGGAGCCGTCACTTTTGTAGGCAAGTTTTGGAAAGTTTATCTATAAACTTTCTCTTCTTCCTCAAGTGTAACCTTCATATATTTCATCTTTGAGTTATCCAAAATATTTCTTTTTGAAAAATGCATTTGAAATATGAAAACCTCATCTTGATATATCAAAAACACTCTCTCATATATATCTAGGTCAGATTCAAGATTGATTTCTTCAAGAGTATGGTTTCTTGAGGAAATTGGTCATTCTCCTTTGAATCCAAATTTTGGTTTATGTATGAGTTAGAGCTTGCAAGCTAGTGCCATGGGATGAATGAGCTGGATAAGGAGCTGTCATTGCCATGAAGAAATGAGCTTCAAGCTTTGCTAAGTTGGAGAAGAAGATTGCACAAAGGAGGTATAGCTCATCTTCCTAAATAGATCTAGGTTTTTCTTGAGCTTGCTTGTGTTCCTTTGTAAAAATCTTTTTCTACTTAGTGGATTGCCTGGTCGGTTGATGACCCCCAGTTTTTCCCAATGGTGGGTTTCTGGGTGAACAATTTCTAATTGCATCTTGTAATTTTTCTGGGTTTGTATTCTTGGTGGTTAACTAGTCATCGTATGAATTCTAGGTTTGTGTTCTTGGTGGTTGACTAGTCATCGTATGAATTTTGGGTTTGTGTCTTTGTAGTTGACTAGTCATCATTATATGTTGTTTGGTGTTTACTTGATTATGATGATTTCACACACTTTCACTATAGTTGTTGCTAGCACAAGGGATGCCTAGATTGAAGGGTCCTTCTCAGTGCCTAGGTTGTCACTAGTAATCTTCTAGGGTTGTTGGTACATTGTGGCATGCTCTGTGTGTATTCTTGATTATTGCTATTCATGACTAGCAGTTGACTAGTCATAAGTGCTTTTGGTCAAGGTCTAAAGTGTGTGAAGATTGTTGTGTTTTGTTTAAGTGTCGTAAAATTTACCCCTTGTCACCTAAGTACCGATTACAATTGGTATCAGAGCACCAGCTCTTAACATAAATAGAGAGATCCTTTGGGTGCTAATTGGTATTAGGTGTGCAAACATAAAAATGGATCAAATTGCTCCTTGCATTCATGATGAGCTTACCTTGTTTGTTAAGAAATATAGAAGGGTTGTCAAAGATAAAACCAAAGTCACTAGGAATTGTCAGAATCTTCCTAGTTCGTCTATATGTGTGTCTCAAGACAATGTTTTTAAGGAGATGAATTTTTTGGACTCTTATGGCTTTAGGGAGAACAAAAGTTTGAAGGGTCTTGTAAAGTGCTATCTATGTGGTGGTGTTGGTCACATTGATGTGGAATGTGCAAATAACCACATGACAGAGTCTAATGGGAAAGAAGAGTCAATTAGTGCACAATGGAGTGATAATGATAGTGATGATTCCAATAACTATATCACTTCATCTTATGAAGAAGCAAATAATTTTGTCCTTGTTGGTTCTGTTCATAACTCTAGCCTTGCTAGAGTTCATGTAGTTAAGGAAGGAAAATCTGATTCAGGAAATGAATCTATGTCTGGAGATGATAGGCAGGATGACCAGTCATACATGGAATAGGTGACCAGTCATACAAGGAACAGGATGACTAGTCATACTTGGGTATGTGTGAAAAGTATATGTCCTTTTTACTGAAACTTCCAAGCTTAAGGAAAGAAATCTCTTACTTGAAGGGAAGGTAAAGAACCTAGAAATTCTTAATTGCACTTTTAAAGAAGCAAATCATGAATTGAGTGAAAATGTTGAGACCTTGGAGAGTGAAAGGGATTCATTGATTGTCATTAAAAATGACATTTCAAACCATGTGAATGTGCTCAAGGAAAACAACTTGATTTTCCAAGCCTCCAATAAGAATTTCTTGACTCAGATAAATGAGGCAAATGACACGGTGATCACGCTTACCGTAGGGGCTAAAAAAATGGATAAAATGTTGAATATGGGTAAGGTTCATGGAGACAAAACTGGTTTTGGTTATGGTTGTTCTAGTTTATGTGTTCCTCCTCCTTTGACCACATTTGTCAAGGAGTGAAATACAAAGTTTGATGTTTTAGAGCCAACTATGATTCAAAGATTCATTCCTACTTGTCACCATTGTGGTGTGAAAGGTCACATTCGACCTAGGTGTAATGCTCTAAGGAATGTGTCTAGAGCAACCAATGCAAATGGCTTTAAGAACCATGTTTCATCTCTTAAAACATGTGAGCTTGCAAAATCTATTCTTTGTCAAAGGGATAAACATTCTTCACTTGCAAAATTTGGTTTCCCAAAACCAAGGTTCATTCCTACTTACCATCATTGTGGCACATTAGGACACATAAGACCAAAGTGTTTTGAGCTTAGGAATTTTGAGAAAAAGTCTTTTGTTCATTTCAAGAAAGTAAATGATGACTCACTTCAAACTCAAGTGAATGATTTTCTTTATAAAGTTGTCATAATTCTTAAGGTGATGTCTTTGCCTCATAAAGTCTCAAAAGTGAAGCAAGTTTGGATCAAGAAGGAAGACCATGTTCTTTCTCATGTTGGTGACTAGTTTCTTTATCTTATGTATCTAGACCATTCTCTTATTTGTGTGTGCTTCATGGAGTCTAGATACATTGTCATGCATTTGCACCTTGTTCTTTTGTTTTATAAGGATTCATTTGTTTTAATTTTTTTTAAATGTGGTCACTGCATGCATGTCTTTCAATCATCTCTCTCATAGTGCTTTGAATCTTGGGTGATCAACAAAATTTCATGTTCTTTTGAACTTGTTCACATTTATCTTGTTGGTCTTGTTCAAACTTTTTCCCTTGGTGGCAAGGAATACATGCTAGCCGTTGTAGATGACTTCTTTGGGTTTATTTGGGTCTCATTCTTGCATGAAAAATCAGAAACCTTCCAAAGATTTAAATCTGTCTACCATCTTTTACAAAAAAATTAAGATCACTAGTCATCTGCCTCTTGTTAGAATTAGAACAGATCATGGTTCTGAGTTTGAGAATTCTCAGTTTCTGAAATTTTGTGAGGAGATGGGAATTAAGCATGAGTTCTCTGCATCTATTACACCTCAGCAAAATGGTGTTGTGGAGAAAAAAAAAACAAAAAACAAGAAACAAAATTTGTGTCATTATCAATTGCTGAGGCTGAGTTTGTTGCTGCTAGAAGTTGCTGCACACAACTCCTCTGGGTGAAGCAGATGTTGGAAGACTATGGTCTTTTTGAGTCATCCTTCGTTATCTACTGTGATAATATGAGTGCAATCGATATTTCCAAAGATCCGGATAAACACTTCAGAATAAAGCATATAGACATTAGGCATCATTTTATTAGAGATCTTGTGGAAGACAACATTTTAACATTAGAGTTTGTTACAACTTGCAGACATACTCACCATCGCCTTGGACTCTCAGAAACATGTCACCTTTAGACAGTCCATTGGCCTTTGCTCAATTGATTGATTAGCATGTTTGCTCCTTATCTTCAGCATATTTCAAAACAGTTGACTAGTCATCTTGCATGTAGTTAACTAGTCAAGTCCAATTTTAAAAAAAATGCTTTCAAATTGATATGCTACTGTTTCACATCTCTCATCTCTGATGGTGTGAAGGTTGAATGTTTTTGTGCTTTGCGTGACTTGTGCATAATCCTCTTTCTTGTTTAGAGCTATTAGATGAGACTTAATTCATGCTATCTTATCCTCTTGGTGAGCCAAGTGTCTATCCTTCATTTTGGACTATCATTGTTATCGTCTCTTAGCTTATCTTACTCTCTTAGCCAATCTATTCAATAATTAAAACAAAGGAAAGTGTGACCAATGTAGTCACGGCTCTAGGAAGGTATAAGGTGATATGATTGAAGCATCTAGAGCAAAGAGCCATAAAATTGGGCCATTTAAGCACTTAAGTCTAGGATGTGCAAGTGTCACAAAATAAATCATCAAATATTTTTTCAATAGAAAGTGATGATACTTGAACTTTGAGCCTATACTCTGATCATGTCATAAAATTTCATTGTATACATGTCTCTCCAAAAGAGATAAGATATCATCTCTTGTGTCCCTTGGTTTTGAACCTCCCTCTTCCAAAATATGTCTTGTCTCTGAGCATGAAATGCAATTCATATTCTATCTCTTAGAGTTGGTTGTAAATGTTACTTGCATAGGCTTTTAATTCTTCTCTTTTTTAATTCATGTGCTTGAGAACTTGGCCTAGACAATGATTGCTGAACATCCTTGATCACTTGATATGTTTGCTAGTTCTTCTCTGTGTGTTAGCAAAGTCCTTCATCTTCTATAAGGTCAATACTAAACATGCTGCTTATTGTGATTACTGCTCTGGTTGACTAGTCACTATATGCATACGCTGATTGTGGTTGACTAGTCATCATGTTCTATTTTCGTTTCTGACCGTGTCTCTGGTGTTGTCTCTTATTCCTTAGCTATGTCTCTGGCCGTCAAGTCATGTTGTATATGCTTAATAGGGATCTTTTGCTTTTTTTGGTGAAATTAATTTTCACTCTCTAAGAAAGACCATTGGTTATGAAACAAAGCACAAAGGCTCACTTGTTTTCTCCTTGTCTCATTTACACCTTCTGTTTGAACACTGGTATTGTGTTTATGTATGGTTGTGTTTGGATGACGTCACTTTGGTCTATGACCAGTAATCTTAATAAGTTGTATTCCCACATTCAATGATTTAGCCTAACATAATTCTTGAAATCCTTACAAGTTTGTTGTGTTTTATGAGTTTTGGATTGTTGGCTAATTTATTTTGTTGGGGGAGTTTCTTTGAGAGGCATGTGTTTTGGCAATATTTTTGCTGATTGTTTTTATCATTTTCATACATCAATGTTGCCTTCCTAAGCTCTTTCTCGGTTGATTTGCTCTCTTTTGTTCTTGGTTGTGTCTATGAGGTTGTTGGTCTTTTGATGTCACCTCAAATTTAGACATGCGTGACTAGTCTGTTTCCCTAGTCCACTCTTTTCTTCTTGTGCTTTTTGGAACAGGTATTTTGTTTTTTTTTGGGGACAACCTAGAGACTTATTTCTTGTGTTCTTTCTCACATGTCCTCAATTTTGAGCAAAAATTTAGGGTTCATCTTGCTTGGTGCTTTCTTCAAATTTGACAATGATTGATGCCTTAAATTTTGAAATCTTGGTTCTCTGTCTTCATTTTTCACTATGGTGTGTAAAGAAAAATTTATTGGTTGTCCCTTGTTTGGATAAATATGTTGCTTAAACTATATCTTTTTAAGGGAGTTTCTTTATGTGTAATGTGTACACATTGAAATTAAATTCATCCACTTGATTTTAATTGCTTTAGGTATGATTCCTTGCAACTTTTGCTCCATTTCTTATTCTCTTTAGCCTGATGCACTTTTGTGTTTGTTGGCTATTTATGGAAAGTTTGCTAGATTAGTACGTCAAAGGTTAATTCCTTTATGTTATATGATACTCAGGAGTATGTTTTCTAAGGAGGCGTACATTTTGCTTTGGGTGGTATATTTTTGTAATCACGTTGTCGGGATAATTGTGCTTGGGTAGTCTGTGCAACTTGATAGGGGAAGTTGTCTTCTATTGTTTTTGAACAAATGCTATTTTGCTTTGTAATCAAACTGTGTCATGTGCATATTGTTCAAATCTGATTATGTGACTTGTGTTTAATTCACTTGATTAATGTTTCTCTATATTTGCCTTTTTGCTCGTTCCTTATCAACAAGGGGGAGAACACTCTCAACCCCATATTGCATATATTGCATATTGCTTCAAATTTCTGTGATATAATATGCTTGTCTTGTGCCTGGGAGTTTGGTTATTGTTTTGCAGATACTTCATTTCATCATCTCCTTAGGTTTGGTTTTGGGTTGAGTGTATTTAGAGAGTGTGTTGTCAAGGAAAGCCAAAAAGGAGGAGATTGTTAATGTATGCATTTTGAGTTTTTCTTTTGGCTTCCCTTGATAATTTTGCAATAGGATTTTTATTGTTTCTATCAAGCTCAAGTTTAGACTAAGAATAGCTTCTCTAGGTGTTCTTAACTAACAACTATCCTATGGAGGTTCAAGCAAATTGACAAAGGTAAATTGTGCATTGCATAACATTGCATAAAATTGATTTCATAAAATGATGACTAGTCATTTGTTTCTCGTATGACTAGTCATCCTTGCTCTGTAGGATTTTCAGCAGGATAACCAACTTTTTTGTCCTATTCTCCTTTCTCTCTCTGCTGCCATGTGTCATTCTGACCTAGGAAATTTTTTGGTGAAAAGGCCAAAGGATTCCTAATTTGGAGCCTTCACTTTTGTAGGCAAGTTTTGGAAAGTTTATCTGTAAACTTTCTCTTCTTCCTCAATTGTAACCTTCATATTTTTCATCTTTGAGTTATCCAAAATGTTTCTTTTTGAAAACTGCATTTGAAATATGAAAACCTCATCTTGCTATATCAAACACTCTCTCATATATGTCTAAGTCAGATTCAAGATTGATTTCTTCAAGAGTATGGTTTCTTGAAGAAATTGGTCATTCTCCTTTGAATCCAAATTTTGGTTTATGTCTGAGTTAGAGCTTGCAAGCTGGTGCCATGGGAT